ACTGTGCTTGACTATAACGCACTACAGAATCAGTTATAGGCAGCACGGCGACATCCACCAAAATTTGCTTCAATTTGTTATTCTACACGCTCCATTCATTTTTTATATCTAATCTGTTACATTTCAGAAGTTTTTGAATTTACGAATGTAACAGTTACACAATACACAGAACAGACTTTCGAAGGAAATAAAATTCTATCAAAATACAAAAATAAAACTTAAAGTGATTGGACAAAAGCATATATTTCTTTGAGAAATATTCACGTACGATCTTTCAAATCCAGCATCGTTTTCAATATGGAAGTTAATATTTCGTTCGAATTCCACTGGACAAAGTAAGGTAGTATGTACATTAAACTGTTAAAGAAAACTGTATTTGAGTACATCGAAATAAAGTCCTTTATCGCATAATTACGAATACGTGTTTGTTACATTATGAGTCGAATTTTTTATTTTATTTCTCAGCACTAAAACGAAAATAAATCAAAGAATTCCAAACAATATGTTGCTGATGGTGTATGTTATATTTCAAATTTTCGGTAAAATTATTCATAAATATATATAATTTTTATTTCGAAAAAGCACTGGTCTAATGCTCATTTGATGTTAAGTGACTGTGAACTACAAGTTTATCTTTACTTACTTATACAATTCAGTTGAGACTTCAACTTTGTATGTCAAGGTGACGTCATGATGTCCAAGGGCTACAATAGCCTCTTACGAAGAGATCAACGACCAATCACACTCACTGAGCTCGGATGGCGCAAAGCTTTTAAATCGAAAAGCTCTTTACGGTAATTTAATGTAGTGTGGTATTTTCTCGTGGAGAATACTTAACGGTAAGCAGCGGTTTGGCTCTGCCCCTGGCATTGCTGACGTTCATTGGCGACGGTAACCACTCATCAGGTGGGTCACATGGTCGTCTGTCTAAAATCGCAATAAAAATATGTACATATATCTAACTAAAACCAAAAATTGTTTGTTTATAGCAAACGTGGTCACCATCAAACCAAAGACCCTGAATCTTGCCATCGAAACAATCATACAAATGGACAACAGCGACAAACAGACAAACCTACAGATCATAGAAAACCTTCAGAGGTTCCTAAATAAAATACGAACCGCCATAGACGGTAAGCAGAGCAGGCGAAACGCGGGAAAAGATTTCTTACTCACAAAATATCTACAAGAAATCATAAGGTACTTGAAGGAAATCGACAAGGATGACTTAGAAGACATCATTATTATACTGAATGATAAAGTTCGTGAAACTAATTCCAATGATGAAATACCCGATGAGGCAGCGAGAAAGTATTGGAGGAGTGTTCTGAATAGAATAAAGAGTTGGAATGTCGAATACCTGCGTGAACAACTCGAGGCTGCTGCCGTTTTGTTAGAAAATCCCAATAACAACGTCGAATTAAGGAATCTTTTTGATTTCGCCAATGACGCTTACAAAAACGCGTCCGCTGACGACTTCTACAAAGTTTTGGATCAGTTAAGATTAAACCCACGAAAGAAGTCAACCACGGAACTAGCTAAAAACATTAACGAATGTATTAACATTGTTATTGGTCATTACAAGAGTATGCCTAAGAAAACTAAGAATAAATTCGAGAAGAAATTAAAGAAATTGATCGAGTTTAATCATGACGCTATGGATGATAAGGGTAAAAAATTATATATCACCACAGAAACAATACATGTTTTCCGTAAAAATCCTAAAGTCATCAGTGCGGACAATGCGAATAATATCTCTCTAGCTACCGTAGACTTGAGCGATTATTCTGACATCAACAACAATGGTATTAACGATAAGCACGCCAATCGAATCTCGCTCGAAGGTTCATCCAATCACGACAGTGATATATCCAATGACAGCAAAGAATCAACGCATAAGGTAGCTCACGACAACAGCCGTGAAAAAAATTATTTAAATAACAAAAATCGAGTTTTACAACGTAATTTAAAAAGAAACAAAGATAGCGTCATTCACAAACGTGATTCTGAAAACGAAATTATTGCTACAAACTCTAAACATAAAGTCAAAGCAACAAAACACATTTCTTTCACCAAAAATAATACTAAGCCCTACATAGACTTAAAGACGTTTGATAAAGGAATGTCTGAATTATTACCCCACAGAAAAAGTCGTGGAAAAAAATATATTAAAAGGTATGTTCGTATTATAGAAAATATCTCGACTAGTACGAGCCTGTAACGATACAATATCAGTGAGGGGAGTTGATTCATAATAAAAATAAGGAAATCTTCAGATCGGCTTTCGAAACAGAGTTTGGCAGCGATCCTGATGATTTAGCTGTTCCAAAATCACTTCACCCTGTCTAGCAGTTGCTCCTTAACATCGCTCCAGGTCAAGCCGGCAGTCCTTAGGGTGTGTCGCCAAATGTGTACAGGGCGGCCAGGTGTTCTCCTCCAACCTTACTCGCATATAATCAAATTCGTTTAACTATTTTTACTTTTTATTTTTTATTTAATCATTGCTTAATACAAACACCGAAAAGATATGATAAATGGAACTCCAACTAGGTGTCCATAAGATCTCTCTTTTCCTTCATAACGTGATTATTTCTTATGAATCCTGGAGTTTCCTTGGATCCTCCCATCCTTGAAAATTCCTGCCTTAATAATTCGCAGGTTGATATTTGAAGACCTGAATAAGACCAAGAGTTCTTACGTCTGCCTTGCATAATGAAGCTGAAATTTATATTGCTCACATAAAATCCTTCACAGGAGCCAGCACGGAAGTAAAACATCTGAGAAACTTAAAAGGAGAAGCCAATTAAATAGAAATCACAACAGAGAACTTAACGTAACAAAGGTAATGGATGAAGATTTAGCAAGAAATATAGTCCACAATGCCACTATCGATCGAACTTATAAAATTAATCGCATTAACACACCAGACAATTTCAATGAAGACTCATCAAAACTCAGGAACACTACGAAAACAATTACGAATAGCTCCGTTATGACTATTACGACAGTAGCAGAACATAAAAACGCCAGAATAAATACATTGATTGCAGAGCATGCAAATAGCACGAAAACAATTAATGAAACCAATGTCGAATTCGTAATGAATAGCGAACAGAAACTATTGAACAACACTAAAAAAGTTGACCTCGCTAAGGTCACTACAATAAAAACCACAGCTCCCATCAGAAATGATAACCAGAAGACCACATCTAAAGTCTCCAAGTTCACCTTAAACTTAGATGAAATATTCAAGGACAGCGACGTAGGAGACGGCAAATCGAGTGTTATAAAAATGAAGATGCTAAAAGACATGGACGATATATTGAATCCAACGACAGAGATGCCGACAACTAAACAGTTCATGGACCCTTTCGAAGACATCAATGAGGACATTGAGTAATTTCTTCTTCTTCTATATTTTTTGGCCCGGTACGGTTTGTGCATTAGCCAGCGTCAAGTAATAAGATTTTTATAATTCGCTTTTTTATTAATTACAGTTTATGAATAATAAAAAACAAAAGAAATTAATCGCGACATAACATAAATCATAAAAAACGAATAACATGTGATGAAATGAAATGATACGGGATGAAATATAATCTCAATAAAATGGTGGTCACATACTGAGGCTTTTTAGTGGACTTTTTGGAGGATCCTTAAGGAGGAAGGACAATTAATAAACCACCGTTATTACACATTTAAACCTGAAGAAACACTAAATAGACAAATTAAAACAAATCATACAACTTCAGTTTTTGCGTTCCCGCCAAAAAGTCCCATTGAGTAATTTAAAAATTCAATTACGAAGGATGCAAAATTCCTGTAAACACAGTTTCTTCAAGTAATCTAGATGGCGTTGGTAGCCTTTTCCAATAAATATTTTTTTTTTTCATGTTGATTTATTGATTTATTAGTCAAACATTTTATTCGTCGAAGCAAACATAACAGTGCGTCAGTACCGTCGGTTGTTGGGTTAAAAAAATAATTGGTTTTCTGTAAAGTCGTTTTACGGACTATAGGTTTATGTAATAGCGTGAATAGTTTTATTGGCGGTAGGACCGGGACGGATAGGTACCACCACCCCGCCTATTTCTGCCGTAAAGCAGTAATGATTTTCGGTTTGAAGAGTGGGGCAGCTGTTGTAACTGAGAAACCTTAGAACTCATATCTCAAGGTGGGTGGCCGCAATTACGCTGTAGATCTCTATGGGCTCCTGTAACCACTTAACACCAGGTGGGCCACGAGCTCGTCCATCCATATAAGCAATAAAAAAATGTTATATATACGAATAAAATGTAAAATAATTATCAAACTTTGTATCGCTATGATCTTTACTAAAACCTACAATAATTACCCTCTTCCCGAAATTTTACATTCGTCTCATTATCTTGAAGTCAAAATTTTTGAAGGTTTCACTTCTACCACGTGTGAATTGCACACATGTTTTTCGTCATTTACTTTTCCATACAAACTGCTCTTCTTCTTCTTCGTGTCCTTACCCAAGACGACGTGGAGTCAGCGCATTAAGTCCTCTTATCATGCTCCGTAGGGACTTGCCATAAGTTATACGACCAGCCAATGTCAACCCTCCTCAGGTTATATCTCCAGTAGTAAATCCATCCTAAGACTTGGCTAAACTGTATAAAAGCGAATATCCGAGAGAAGAGTGTGAGTGCAGAAATGTCGTACCATAGATTTGAATGGAAAAAAGAAGAAAATCACATAGAAGATGAAGAAGTATTAGTGTCTGTACGCTATTTGTCCCCCACCAAGAGAAACTTTCACTTGAACTACTTTTTGACTCGACACTCCGATCAGATACGTCTTCAAGCGAAGTATACACCTTCTTATATCCTTAGTAATTCGATCTAGTAATTAAACAGTATTAAAAACAGTACGTTCAATCAAAAACATAGATTTTAACACGGCAAGGATGTGCGCAATTAGACGCGACCTTATAAATAGCAGTGTTGTAGGAGTGTTTGATTCAATCAGGAGTCATGTTACGTGAGACAGCGGCTTTTCTGTTGACGGTGAGCCTCGCGTACTGTGCCTTCTACGACACGTACTCAGGAGAGCTCATAAGCGATCGGAGAGCGGCCGCGTTGGGCGAACGAGGATTAGTGCCGTGAGTATGACGAGAGTTTGCTAAAACTGGCCCTAACGAGAGCAGTGCTTCACTGAAAGTACCATCGGATCGGAATCGCGACCCATTGAGAAGAACCGGCCAGAAACTCAGAGAGCTGTGTCCAAAATAAGTCGGATTTTTGTGAAAAAAAAAACAAGTAATTAGCTGGATCAAAACTCCTTAAAAGATTTTTTCGTGCACGAAAATTACGAAATATGCGTTAGATTGTGAAATTTACGCGTTTTTACCTTGAACACAAACTAATTAGGTAAGATAATTGTTTACCGTCTCACGAAAAAACCGATAATCGTTTAGTATCGATTCTGTTATTTCTTTATCAATAGCTTGATGGATTTTTGAAGATTTATCACAAAGGGGAAATTTTCAGGCGAGCTCCTGAAATTGCTCGAGAGAATTTTATAGTCCCAGAACTTTGTATACATGCTAATTTGTCTTGATATTGTTGTTGAAGAGATTCAAACATCTGTCAAATAACTATAGAATTGTATTCGTAGCGCATAAAAGAAAACTATTTCCGGTCCTCCTCCGTCCAAAAGAAAACCGTCCTCGCCGAACCCGTCGCTTGCGACGAAGGACTCGACGAGTAAATTAACCCATAGACACAGAGTCCACTAAGTTTTTCGCCGGATCTTCTCAGTAGGTCGCGTTTCCGATCCGGTGGTAGATTCTGCGAAGCACTGCTCTTGCTAGGGCCAGTGTAAGCAACATTTCCGGCTTGAGCACCGTGAGCTCACCTACACGTTAGGGTCAAGCTGAAATAATCTCTCAAGGCTATCTGCACAGGTAGAAAAAAAAACTCACTGTTGCACTTTTATTGTTCTCTTCCAAAATCTTCTAATAATATAATATAACTGGAAAAATATGTCGGTGTTTTAATGTTTTCTCTCATTGTTACACTTTTCTCGCTCTAGCCCGAGTCTGGGTCTGCGAACAAAATGCGCGATGTAGTTCGCTCCAAAAAACTGTATTTCCGTTAGATGGTGTGCTATTGAAGTGGACGCTTGTAATCCACACGAAGGACGGCGGACGGATGCTTCCTGCAACAATTTGAGGCGGCCTTCGAGGGGAGCGTCGCTGACTCCCTACTACAGGATGCTGCCCGCACAATACGGTGCTGAGGGTAGACCAAGGGTGGCCAAGTCAGGTCGGCCCCTCCCCGACGTCAGGACTCTCAGGGTTTCCATAATGTCTGACGGTAGAGTCGGTAAGAATAAAAAAAATTATTAATTTCCGCATGGTTAGATAATGTACCTTCGTGCCAAATTTTAGTCTCCTTGTAAACTCGGAAGATTGTGTCGCTTTACAGGACTATGTTCCAAGGTCATTCTTCAGGATGTTAAATCTGTATTTATAATAGTTTTATTTATGTTATTTATTTATTTATTGTTAACATAGAAGTAGAAATACAATCATAATTTGCATCTCTGCTTGAACTAGGTGATAAAACATGTAATCTCAAGCAGCAGTGCTCTTCGTCCAAAGAATACAGCAGCTTTACTTCAGACCTTACATTATAATATTTCATTATTACGTGTTATATTATGTTTTATTTTATATTAAGCAGTATGGCTTATCCTTGTTATTTCAAAGGCTAGCGAATAATTATCAGACCCATGAACTGTTGCAATTTTTTTTGTCATTTACCCCAAATCTTTTTTAAGCGTATATGTTCCAGCACATCCTCATTTGACGCAAATGGTGACCAACTACAACGTTTTCATCGCCGGAGACGTGACTTCAGTTCACGACACAGTGAACTATGTGGCTGTCACGACAGCTTGCTGCTCACCAGGTAAAGAGGTCTTTGAGGTCTTCTATCATGAGCTATGGCGTGCTATTTCATTGTGTATTACTAGTAACTTCGAGGTTGCTAGCTTCGCCGTATGGGTTTACGGGACTCAGCCTGAAAAACTGAATCCTCAAAGACTGTTACTGGTGGTAGATTTGTAACTGTAACTAAACTTGAGACCTTAGAACTTATGTCTCAAGGTAGGTGGCGCATTTACGTTGTAGATGTTTATGGGCTCTAGTAATCACTTAACATCAGGTTGGCTGTGAGCTCATCCACTCGTCTAAGGAATAAAAAATGCTTTCGGATATGCAAGCGGCATATCCTTTGACGTTTAATAACCGTAACAATTTATATCTATCTTTATTAGTTATTTTATTATTTATCTTTATTAGTTTATTATCTATCTTTATATCTTTATTATTTATGTGAGTAATAAGCACAGGAGAGTATACAATAGAAAATATATTATACAAGTTAACTCGATTTGTCCGTACGTATTGTTACACCGGTAAGAGTAACGCCATCTATCAACGAATAGCCGAACGACTATCGAAGGATCTATTAGCATCTAGAACGCTCGAGAAGTAAAGCGCTATCTATTGCCAGATAGCGGAAACACACAATACACGACTTTTGCGGAATATTCTCGATAATTGTAGGGATGTCGTACCGACTATAAAAGCGTTGCAGAGATGGCACGCAGTCAGTCAGTAATCACCTGAAGCGAAGTGGAAGAAGCGAATTAAGAACTTTAAAGCGTTTGTCAAGTGTTTTAGGTGCTTTAAATGCTAATACGGTGTTAATTTGTACTTTGGTGGAACTTTTTGTTTATCCCAAACCCCAGCGCGTAACCGTATGATAACTTCTTAGGAGGCTTAGGAGGTTTAGTTAAAAAGAAATCAAAACCATACTGTCGTATTTTTAAATTCCGAAACATATTCAACAATGGGTAAGGATACGCAAAGGTAGTACCAACCAGCCTGTTTCTACCGCAAAGCAGTAATGGGTTTTCCAAAAGTGAGGCAGCTGTTGTATTGTAAAATTTACCTAACGAGTTCGTGTCTGAAGCTGGATGGTAACATTTAGATTGTTATTGTTTACAGGCCACTTAGAACCAGGTGAGACGCCGATATTAATCTAATTTTAAGTTTGGGAACTACCCGTCAAAACGACCATTTTTCAAAGTCAAACTTTTTCTAACTACCCGATAGTTGAGCGCCGAATAAAAGCTCCCAGTTAAAAGCTCTACACGCAAGCCAGTTTTTTTCAGGTGGAGAGGCAGACCCGAGATGCCTACCGATCAGAGTGCCCGATGATGATGTGCATCTTCGTAGAAGCAACGTGAGATGTCTGAATTTGACACGTGCCATCACGTATCAGCGTCTGGGCTGTGTATCCAATAATGTGCCTGGAGAACGGGTCAGTTTTGTTCTAAGTCACAACCAGGGCATTGGCTCTCAAACTTTTTCGCAGCGCGCACCTTTAATGATGTAAATTTACAGCACAAATAACCTGAAAGAGGTTTTGGAGAAACGAAGGAAAGCCATGCGAATTTATCATTCGGTTAGTTGTCTTTTAATGAGACGAACGAAACTGTATGGATCATCCAATTTCTCATTATTTTCTTAAATTTTACGTAATGTTTAATTTAATGTTACCCGCAAATCGCCAAACAAATATCTTAATGTATTTTTTTAACAATTTAAAACATTTTGCCGACTCCCTTGATTGTTGCTGCTGGCTATTTGGGAAGTATTTTTATTTATTTTTATTGCCCTTGTAGGCAGACGAGCATACGGCCTACCTGATGATGAGCGATTACCGTCGCCCATGGGCTTCAACAATGCCAGGGGCAGAGCCAAGCCGCTGCCTACCGCTTAATACTATCCACAAGCCTCGTTTGAAGAAGGACATGTCATAGCGCTCGGGAAACACCGTGGAGGGGAGCTCATTCCAAAGCCGGATGGAACGTGGCAAAAAAGCTTTCTGGAAGCGCATTGTGGATGTTCCTAAATATCAGAATGGCTTTACGTGCCATTACTGGTGGTAGGACATCTTGTGAGTCTGCACGGGTAGGTAACACCACCCTGCTTATTTCTGCCGTGAAGCAGTAATGAGTTTCGGTTTGAAGGGCGGGGCAGCCGTTTTAACTATACTTGAGACCTTAGAACTTACGTCTCAGGAAGGGTGGCGCATTTACGTTGTGGATGTCTATGGGATCCAGTAACCGCTTAACACCAGGTGGGCTGTAAGATCGTCCAGCCATCTGAGCTATTATTAAAAAAAAAAAAAACGTGCCCATGCGGGATTCTACCTACCCACTTCCTTCTACTGAGCTAACTGAGACAACATTCCACAGATCAACACAGCAACGCCCATGCTCGATCTCTCGATCGTGTACGGCAACAACGCTATGGCTGCAGCCCGAGGAAGGCAGTACGAGGGTGGTAGACTCCGTGCTGACATATTGAAAGGCAAGGACTGGCCACCTTCAGGGTCGGCATTCTGCATCAACAACGAAGCCAATGAGACAAGATGCCACGACGCTCGTAAGTTAACGGCGAGGCAAGATTTAACGCCTTCCAGTAACCACTTAACACCATAAAAAATAAAAATAACCTCTTAACAGACTACGGCCTCCGCAAGGGACATAGTTTTAACAATGCATGTACGTACCCATTTAGAGTCCTTGAACTCCTGCGTCGTCTTATACTAAGACATTCAGAAGAGAATGATACGCTGGTATAAACCAGCGTATTGCAATGGCCAAGTGGCTTTTTTTGGCGTTGGGGTACATTATCCTACCTCTTTCTGCCACGAAGCAGTTCTGAGTTGAAGGGTAGGACACCTTTAGTGCAATGCGACAGTGGCACTCACGATTTTCGTGTTCTTTTCCAGCGACGAACGGCGCCAATTCGCTTTTGGGCATCAACATGTTGTTCCTCTGGCTGTACCGGAACCACAATTCTATAGCCAGACGGCTTCAGACCCTGAACCGATGCTGGGACGACGATAGAATCTTCTTCACCGCTAAAGAAATCAACATAGCCATGTATTTGCAAATCCTGTACTATGAACTCATGCCTGTAGTTTTAGGTGAGAATTGAATCAACGCTTGTTATGAGCAGTTTAGTTTGACTAGTTTATTATTATTTAATTAAAGCCATATTGGCTAGCCAACATGACCTGGAGTGGTGTCAAGGAGAAAATGCAAGATAGGGTCAAGTGGAGATAACTTGTGAGGGCCCTAATTACCAGCGAGGTAACCTAGGACTACAACAACAACACCAAAATCTAAAAGACTACAACAACAAAATCATATTAAGCAACCTCTACTGTTGACTGTGGGTCAAAAGAAAACCCCACCTCTTCCAGTGGGCTTAGTATAGTGAGTAAGGTATACATGGGTGAATGGATTAACTGAGCATACCGTGAGCTCGCACGGACCACCGTCTTGGATATGTAAGGAAATCCAAGCATGGTAGAAACTATCAAAGTAGACGATCAGGTTTTGGAAGGTTTAACGACAAACCGAAGATTTTCTAAAGACCGGGTGATGTTGCTCGGAAGTCGACGGTCCGAATGTTGTTCTTCGGAACTTGTATATACGCGAGCTTATCTTGAAATGAGATTCAGGCATCTTGCGTTGTATGATGTTTACCATCACAAGGACATCTGCCGATGCGACACAGCACACACTAGCTGTTCTTAATTGAACTATAACATAAATTATTCCACAGGAAAAGAATTTCTACTGAACAACAAAGTTATCTTTGACGTTTTGGGTCACGTCAATGACTATGACGATCGTCTAATGCCCACTGTCAGTCTGGAGTACATTATTGGAACTAGATGGTTCCACACTATACAGGAAGGGAGGCTGAGGTAATTTCGGAGCTCTTCTCGTGCACAAACAGACACAGATCCGACTTACATCTAGCCTAGGGCCCTATACCACACTACTATAGACACAAGTCCTCTGCAGCTCTGTACTGATCCCGAGCCATTCTCAAACAGAAACACACACAGATCTAACCTACATCTAGCCATGGGTCCTATACCACACATCTATAGACACAAGTCCTCTGCAGCTCTGTACTGATCTCGAGCTCTTCTCGTACACAAATAGAAACAGATCCGACCTACATCTAGCCGAGAGTCCTATACCGCACTACTATAGATACAGTCCTCTGCAGCTCTGTACTTGCACCTAGCTGAAATCATTTAACTCGCAGATTGTACACAAAAGAAGGGAAGATATACGATGAACAGCCAATAGTCGATTTGACTCTTCGGACTGGTGCATTACCCATTAATAATACCTTGGAGGGCGTAACCCAGGGGGCCTTCAGACAGCCGTGTGCCGACACCGATAATCTGGTAGATCCTGATGTAAGTTATACCGGTAGCTAATCCTAAAATACATGCAGGCTAAATATCAAATCTAATTAACATTTGATTCGTCGTGGCCTAAAGGTTAAGACGCCCGGTGCATTCGTATCTAGCGATGCACCGGTGTTCGATTCCCAGTCGATTTAATGTCGCAACCTGTATCTAGAGGATAACAAAAACTTTTTTTTTTATGGCTTAGATGGGTGGACGAGCTCACAGTCCCCCTGGTGTTAAGTGGTTACTGGAGCCCATAGATATCTAAAACGTAAATGCGCCACCTACTTTGAGATATAAGTTATAAGGTCTCAGTATAGTTACAACGGCTGCCCCACCCTTCAAACCGAAACGCATTACTGCTTCACGACAGAAATAGGCAGGGTGGTGGTACCCTCCCCGTGCGAACTCACAAGAAGTCCTACCACCAGTAATAACGCAAATTATAATTTTGCGGGTTTGATTTACACGATGTTATTCCTTCACCGTGGATATCAATCGTGAAGATTTCTTAAGTACGTATTTCATTAGAAAAATTGGTATCCGCCTGAGGAATTCGAACACCGTTGCATCGCTAGATACGAATGCACCCGACGTCTTATCCTTTAGGCCATGACCACGTAGGGAAAAAAACTTGATTCTTTTCTTAGATTGGAGAAAGGATATTAGGAAGGTTGCAGTTTGCGTCAGACGTGGTGTCCAGTGACATCATGAAAGGCAGAGACCTAGGTTTACCGCCCTACAACGATTATCGTCGGCTGTGCGGTCTGCCAGTCGCGAAGAAGTTTAAAGATTTGCTACGTTGGATGAGAAGTGAGGTATCCGTCAAGTATATAAGACTTTTTAACCGATTAGCATCTGCGAAAGTGTATTTATAAGTGCTGGGAGATTCAACAAAGTCGTTGAACAAAAGATGTAGCTTCTCTAAATCTTCTAAAGAGCGCAGTGAAGATTCGGTAAATTACCATTATTTTACTGAGACGTTGTTTCATTTTAATCAATTTCATCTCAATGGATTCCAATTTGAAATCAACAAAATCAACTTTTTTCTGCCACATTTTCTATATAGTATAGTTTGTATAGGATCTTTATAAATTTAAAACGGGCAACAAAAGCAACGCGAGAAAACAATTACCATACAAAAAAAAAGAAGGAGAACGTCTATGACGATGTATATAAAAAACATCTAATATATAAAATTCTCGTCTAATATATAAAATTCTCGTGTCACAATGTTCGTTCCCATACTCCTCCGAAACCGCTTGACCGATTCTCATGAAATTTTTTATGCATATTCAGTAAGCCTGAGAATCGGCTACTATCTATTTTTCATACCCCTAAGTGATAAGGGTTGTCCACACGTTTTTTTTTTTTATCAGGAGGAAATCGCCGGACTTCCGCCCTTCACTGGGGATGGAGGGCGGGGCATGTCGGAGTCGAACCGACTAAAACCTCCTGTCTCTCAACAACCAACGTCCAAACCTCGCATGAGACAGAACTCATGAAAAGGCAAAGGGGGTAAAGTGAAGCGTTTTTGTCCACCCCTAAGATTTTATTTTTATTTTTTGGACAATTTTTTTTGTTATAATGAGACATTATGTGGTTGAATGAGGTATTGTTATTTTTATATTCCTTCATCGTTCACAGCGCTACATGCCTCTTTCACTCATCTACCACATCCTTACACACTTACAATAAGTTAGTTTTTTTTTTCTACACTAGAAATTCCCTAGAAATCTTATATATGGCAAAACAACGTTTGCCGGGTCAGCTAGTTTATATATATAATAATATATATTTTATAATTCTTTATTTCCAAAGCAAGTTGAAGCGATGTCGCTTCAGTATGAGAGCACAGAGGACATTGACCTAATGGCTGGTATAATAGCGGAGTGGCCAGCTAAAGACGCGGTAGTTGGACCGACGCTGCGCTGTATCATGGCAACACAGATGAAAAGATGGCGGCGCGCCGACAGGTTCTGGTATGAGAACGACATACATCCGGGTGCTTTAACCCAAGGTTAGCATTCGAACAAGTTTTTATTTATTACTAGCGACCCGCCCTCGCTTCGCTTCGGAAACTTTAAATTTTATTATTGATAACTGAGTCCCGCGATGTCACCCGTGGGTGAAGCCGCGGGGCGAAGCTAATCTAAAAAAGTAGGCTGTTACTCCTTATATCATCAGCTACCTATCAGTGAAAGTCCAGTCAAAATCGGTCCAGCCGTTCCAGAGATTAGCCGGAACAAACAGACAGACAGACAGACAAAAATTGTAAATAATGATATTTTGGTGTATGTACCGTATATATATTCATATGCATGTAGTAAAAAGAGGCTATTTCAATATTACAAACAGACACTCCAATTTTATTTATATGTATAGAATATAAACATTGTAATCAGCTAAGAAGGTTATCACTGGTGGTAGGACGTCTTGTGAGTCCGCACGGGTAGGTACCACCGCCCTGCCTATTTCTACTGTGAAGCAGTAAGATCAATTGTCGAGTTAGATCGGTGGACGAGCTCACGGCCCCTCTGATGTTAAGAAACAACGTAAATGGCGTCACCCATCTTGAGACATGAGTTCTAAATCTCAGTTTTAGAGTACAACGACTACTCCACTCTTAAACCAAAACGCATTGCTGCTTCACGACAGAAATAAACAAGGCCGTTGTAGCTACCGGTCTGGGCTTACAAGACATCCTACTACCAATAAATACTTGCGTTTATAGTTAGAATATCACATTAAAATGCATTAAAAGCCAGTGAAGAGGCATGTATTTCGCTTTGAAAGACGCAATACCTACATTAAGTCCCTTTTGCCTGTCTAATTCGATTGAGACCATGGATGGAAGTAAGGAGCATCATCTTGAATAGGGGATATATTGATAAAGTGTCCAAACAGTAAACAGCGAGTTATTGTTGTAAGACTCGCCGAAATAGCGCTAATGTAGCAAGTGGAAGAGAAATGAATATAACATTACAATTTTAAACAGACTGAGGTGTGCTGGATTGATAATAATTAATATTTATCGTGACTTGCTTAGTTAAAAAATATGCAGTACATGTTTCTTAACCATTTATTTTTATTATTAGTAACGTAGGAAGTGAATCTTTCCTCCTTATTATAGTATCATGCTCTGATAGTCTACGGCGCTTATTTTTAAAATCCTTCCACTTGCTACTGTGGCGCCACCTTAATTGGCTAACTTTTTTTAGTAAACTGAGATGATGCTCCTTCTACTCTCCATAATTGAAACGAACCAAAATCTATGGCGGCACTTTAATAAAAAGTGTTGCTACATTTCAGATCAATTGGTGGAAATAAGGAAAATATCTATGGCCAAAATTATGTGCGACCACGGGGATCAAGTTGAAGATATACAACCGAATGTGTTCATCTTACCTGGATACGGGTAATTATATTAATAATAATAATAATAGAATTATTTATTGCCTTTCACACAGATTTAGATTAATACATTTAGATAAACTAGTGTTATTGTAATTACTATTGTGTAATTACTGGTGGTAGGTCCTCTTGTGAGTCCACACGAGTAGGTACCACCATCCTGCCTATTTCTGCCGTGAAGCAGTAACGCGTTTCGGCTTGAAGGGTGGGGCAGCCGTTGTAACTATACTTGAGACCTTAGAACTTATATCTCAAGGTGGGTGGCGCATTTACGTCGTAGATGTCTATGGGCTCCAGTAACCACTTAATACCAGGTAGGCTGTGAGCTCATCCATCCATCTAAGCAACAAAACGATACTTCAAGTCGCGCTAAGAAATTTAATCCACAAAGGTATATTACCCAATGCGTATGGAGGGTAGAAGCGGGAGCATTAGTTTAGCGTAGTAAAAAGTGTCCACAAAAAGGGAGCAAACTAAGGTGGCGCCACAGTAGCAAGTGAAAAGATTTAAAAAATAGCGTCATAGACTTGACTCTGACTTGACTCTGTTTAAAACTGATAAATTCATTAAATTTCCACTTCCCACACTAGCGCTTTGGGGATTTTTCCAACAATAACTTGCTGTTTACAGGAGGACACTTTTCAACTCGCCCCTATACAAGATGGCGCTTTTTACCTCCACCCTCCATACTCATGTTTTAAGTGTACAGACCATATCGAGGGGTGAAAGTTTATTTGGTTCAAGCGACATTTTTGCAATATTACAGGAACTTGTAAATAGTTTAAACATTTGGAAAAAAATATAATGACAAAAACAATTCTTCAACTATTTCTATGGAGTAACCTTAATTTAAGTTCAATTAAAAACATCGAACTGTTGATGCTGATATCAAATAAAAGGCACCTTTAATTACAAAGATAAAGGTCGCGCATTAAGCGAAATACGCTTAAATCAAATAGCTTTTCACCCTAGATACACTAAAGCAATCCAGACGTCACCCAAACGGCTGTATGTTTACGATTTCTTAGCACGTTCACAGAACTATAATAAAACTGTTTCAGGAATGAATTAACGAAATGCTCATCGCTGCCGACTCTCGACTGGCAGCTCTGGAAGGATCAATCGTGCGATAAAACATACAAGAAACAGGACTCGGATTTAGACGAATACGGAAACGTATACATTTACTGACGTCATTGAATCAACAGAATATACTTTCAATTCAAATCTTCGTTAGCTGGCCACTAATCAAACTTATTTGCAGTGAATTCCCCGAAATTTTGCACTAGAACGATAATTAATTCAATTTCATTCAATAAAATAAACGTTTTCAAATAAATCCGTCTTCATTTAATTGAGATTCATTTTTTTTATTTTAACCATTCGTAAGTTTTTTTTAAAGATTTTTATATATTATGTATAATAAAAACTAGCAACATTGGTAGGTATAGCAAGAATAATTGGCATTATAAAATAAATGACGCAATCCAAAATTTTAACGAAGAAGAATATGTAATGCCTTCAATAAAATGAAGGGAGTTTAATTATCATTAATACAGTCGAAGTCAATTAAACATGTTTTAATAAGGTAACACAAAAACCACCGGTCGGATCTTGATACAATTTAAATGGACCACACGCGAAGCACCAGTTTTCTTCTTGAAAAAAATTATTTGTTATCTGTGAAGTCGGTTTACGGACCATAGTTTTACGTGATAACGCCAGTAGCAGAACTATTCAAGCTGTTAGCTCTGACGTCAGACAAGAAGAGAGATAAATGTGTCACAAGCCAACGCTTGCGCCGCGCCGTGCTTACCTATCGCTTGTTCCGTGTTCTCGCTCGCACGCTCAGGTTCAGGCGGAACGTGACACTTTTTTACGTGTGCAACCGGTGTTCATTGATTTATAAGACATTATCTATATATTAATACGTGAAGCAAAAACTTTGTATCCCTTTTTACGAAAATTGCGCGGACGGAGGAGTATGAAATTTTCCATACTTATAGACTAGCGGCCCGCCCCGGCTTCGCTTGGGTAGTAGCGCACGCAATATAAAAAAAAATATGTATTTTTTTTACACGTTGGATTACATTATTAGAGTTTCAGTAAGGATCCCAATTTTTTTTGAAAATATAATAAATTTAAGCTATGTCACCCGGGGATAGCGTAGCTTTCCAACAGTGAAAGAATTTTTCAAATCGGTTCAGAAGTTTCGGAGCCTATTCAATACAAACAAACAAACAAATCTTTCCTCTTTATAATATTATAAGTATAGAAGTATAGATATAGAGAAGAAGTGCACAAGGCTAACATTTTTTTTAAATAATGCATAAAAGATACATTAAATCAATAAAGAAAACATTACACAACTACATACCATGTATTTGACGCACACACGCATACAATGACATGTCAAACCTTTGTTCTTGACGTCTTTTTTTTTAAGGGATTTTATGACCTGGTCATGTCTTATTTTAATTTAAGTACATATTATATTCATATTTTTATGAAAAATTATAATATGGAGTGAAATGAAATGAAATGAAGATGATTAATTTGAGACATTAATCAACTGGGATGAAATTAAATTAAATGAGATGATATGGGATGAAATATAATCTCAGTCAAATGGTGGTCGTTTACTGAGATTTTTTCAGTGAACTTTTGGAGGAACCCGAAAAGTTACGTCCAGTTCTTGACGTCTGTGGTCAAATTGAGAATAGATTAAATATTGTTTGTCTTTGTTAATATTTTTTATAGTGTAGTCTTGGCGAAATTTGTGATTATAGAAGTATAAAATACAATCATAATAGTATACAAACTTACAATTCCAATTAATTATAGTCGAATTTAGATTACTGCGGGACCTCTAGTCACGTTAAAGTTATGCAATATATAGCAAACCGACACACACAAAACAAACATAGCCAGTTAATAAAACAAAACATTGGACGATCATTTTAAAATACTAGGCTGTTCTGATTGCAAGCTTTTTTAAGCCAAACCTTACCACAGCCAAATCGAATGTTTGAAGGCTCTGTCAAAACGGACCTCATTATTGGATTGCAAAATGTTTGGGAGATAGAAAACTCTAAAACATTTGACCCGCAAGTATGCTTCGGTAGGCGCAAGTAAGACCGGTAGGCAGCAGCTTGGCTCTGCCTCTGGCATTGCTGAAATCTTTTTTTTTTTTTTTTTTATGATTGAAAGTTTACTGGTGGCCCGAAGGCCTTTCCAGTTTCACCAGGACAGGTGGGCGAGCAAAGGCTCAGCCAAGAGGGGTGGGATTTGCTAACAACTGCCCGAGCGCCTCCGAAGGAGACCTAACAACTCAAGAGCAATTGTTTCGCGAATGAATCTACTACCGGATCGGAATCGCGACCCGCTGAGAAGATCCGGCGAGAAACTCAGCGGGCTGATGCATGGGTTAGGTTGCACGTCGACCTCTTTGTCGAGTTCGACGAGTACGGTTACCGGGGTCCCTAAGCCTGCCCCTAGTATTAGAGCTGAAGGCATCTAATGCAAAGGTTATTGGATCTGATGGATCCGTAAGGACGTGTCTAGGGCGTCGACGGTGACTGGCTCCTGCATGATCAGGATTCGGGGAGTAGTCAGCGGCGGCAACGATAAGGCGATTATCATGACGCATAGCCTTATCGAAGTATCGTTCCGACGCTGACTTCATGTATTTCCGAATTGATTCGAGGCCCAGGTCGTCGTGTAGGTCAACGTTCCTCACGAACCACGGAGCCCCGACAGCTAACCTGCAAAAGCGGGATTGTAGGGATTGGAGGGTGTCTATGTGTGTGCGGGCCGCGTGAGCGAACACCACACTCGCGTAAGTCATGACGGGCCTTATGCAAGTTTTGTAAAGTGTCACCTTGTTCCGAAGGGACATTTTACTCCGCTTACAGATCATGGGGTAGAGTCTACCGAGAATAAACGCGGCACGGTCACGGACTGATTTTATATGCGGGCGGAATGTCATCGATGCATCCAGGGTAACGCCCAGGTACTTGACCTTCCTGGCCCAGGGTATGGGTTGTCTAAAGAGAGTAATCGGGGGAAAGAGAGTAATCGGGGGGCTGCTGAAATCTATGAGCGACGGTAACCACCCACCATCAGGTGGGTTGTATGCTCGTCTGCTGTTTTATTTAGTTAATTTAATGTTTCAATGTATGATAACGGTGGTTTGTTAACTGTTTAGCGTCTGTGAAAGTGCACAAATCTGGGAAAATGACACAAGCCATTGGACGTAGCTTCTCGGGATCTTAAGATTCATTTCCTTGAGACTATATGCCATCCCATATCATTTCGTTTCATATACTTTCAATGTTCAATCAATCAAGTTATGTCTTAATTGATTAATGTCTCAAATTAATTAACTTCATTTAATTTCGTTCTTTATATCATTTTTTATAAAACAAAATGTATTAAAGATTAGGATGTATTGTGTGACACCTTCGCCTTACCAGTTGGAAAAATGTAACTACAACTATCAAAACATTCCACTTTGAGGTTATATTTTTGTTTGTGCACAAATACAGTTTCAACGTGATAGTACAAATAACAAATTAATTTGTCTGTTTACAACTACAATGTCGCAGAAGAAAGACCCTTTGGTTTGTGTTTTTGTTTATCGATTAATCATCATTATATGCACGATATCAAAGAAATGAAAATTTTTCCCTTATTTAAATCTATAATTTAATCTAGTATGCTCAAGACTGCTTACCTCTGACTTGAGATGCAATTTTTACGACGCATTCGATACCATACTATCTTCAAACAAATATAAAAGAGACCTTAAGTAATACAAGTCGTCGTAGATTTTTTTAAGATGAGTAGAATTTTCTATAAAACACAATGTTACAACAAATTAATTCTTGTATCACTAACAGCAATGAGGCTCAAAATATTTGCTGAAGTCTTTCCTATTGGTATACTTAGTTGTGCAGTAGCACTCTTGACTGGTGACTGGCATGCTGAGGGTTGTGAGTTCAATTCCCACATTGAGCAAACATTCGTATGTTGAACAGGTTTCTTGCTCTTCTTTTAGGGGTTTATTATCTATATACTAGTGTTCCCTCGTAGTCGAAATTCGACTGCAATTCATTAAAATTATAAGTTTGAACATTCTTATGGTTCTAATGTCAAATACTTCTGTAATCACAGATTTCGCTAAGACTATACTATAGACAAATAATGTTAAAGACAAACAATATTAATTTATTCTCAATTTGACCAGACACCAATTAAACAATAACAATAGTTTGACAATAAACAAAGAGTATTATATATATTTGTTTTGTGTCCAATACATGGTAGTGTGTGTAATGTTTTTTTTATTGATATAATATATTTTTAAGGATAATTAAAAAAATATCAACATTCTGCACTCCTTCTCTGTAAGTGTGGGAAATCTTATACTCCTCATCCTATGCAATTTTCATAAAAAAAAGGGTTAAAAGCTTTTGGTTTGTATTTTTTTTATTGCTTAGTTTGGTTTACGAGCTCACAGCCCACCTGATGTTAAGTGGTTACTGGAGCCCATAGACATCTACAACATAAATGCGCCACCCACCTTTTTTTTTTTTTATTGCTTAGATGGGTGGACGAGCTCACAGCCCACCTGCTGTTAAGTGGTTACTGGAGCCCATAGACATCTACAACGTAAATGCGCCACCCACCTTGAGATATAAGTTCTAAGGTCTCAGTATAGTTACAACGGCTACCCCACCCTTCAAACCGAAACGCACCACTGCTTCACGGCAGAAATAGGCAGGGCGGTGGTACCTACCCGTGCGGACTCACAATAGGTCCTACCACCAGTGATTACGCAAATTATAATTTTGCGGGTTTGATTTTTATTACACGATGTTATTCCTTCACCGTGGAAGTCAATCTTGAACATTTGTTAAGTACGTATTTCATTCGAAAAATTGGTACCCGCCTGCGGGATTCGAACACCGGTGCATCGCAACAACGAATGCACCGGACGTCTTATCCTTTAGGCCACGACGACTCAAAAGCGGCCTTGAGATATAAGTTCTAAGGTCTCAGTATAGTTACAACGGGTGCCCCATGTTTGAAACTGAAACGCATTACTGCTTCACGGCAAAAAGAAAGAAAAAGAGAAAGAGAAGTGATTGCTACTAAAAATCAATTTAGTTTGTTTCATTACTTGCATAAAACAAATCAGCATTGTCCAATTGATATTTGAATATATTTAGCGATGATAACATGTCAAAGAAATGTGGACCACTTGACAGGTATGGGGTGCTTCTGATGACATGGCAGTTAAAAGTGGTTACTCACAACACTCCCGACTCAAGAACTATGGTGAGGACAGTCTTCGGAGTTTCCCTGTTAGATCAAATCATTGAGATGATGCATGGGAGAATCAAAATAAACAGCAAGCCTATGTTGTTTCTCATGATTCTCCCAAGGTAGATAGACCTTCCATTAGATGGACTGACCACCTGATGCTGGATGCAGGCAGTGCAAAACACTTTATTATGGTGAGCTCTAGGGGAGGCCAATGTCAAGCAGTGGGCATTTTTGAGCTGATAAATAGAGTACAATGAAAAGGCTATATTCGAAAGGATTTCATGGAAGATAGTTTCTTAAATGCTATTATTAGTTTAACTATTTCCTTTCACATTTCATATTTACACAGAAATTTTGCACTTTTGATTTCAGAAAAAAATTAGATCCCTTTGTTATGTGACAATTGGAGGAGCTATCGCCTACCAGTATATTTATTACAAGAAGGACTTTAACAGTTATTACGAGAACGTCCTACAACCTCTCAGTCAGTATCTGAGTCCTGAAGTCGCTCATCGAATCGGAGTAGCAGCGATCAAACACGGACTATTTCCATCTGATCAAAATGAAGACCCAAAGATTTTAGTAAGTACTAGCTGACCCGGCAGACTTCGTAGTGCCTCAATCGATAGATAAAAGACCTAAACTTTTGTATAAAATACTTATATTTAAAACAAACAAAAGGAATCCGTCCGATATAGGAAAAAAGAAATTGTAATTTTTTTTTAATTCCGTGCATTTTCATATTTATCTAGCTTTTAAACCTTCTCCGGACTTCCACAAATAATTCAAGACCAAAATTAGCCAAATCGGTCCAGCCGTTCTCGAATTTTAGCGAGACTAACGAACAGCAATTCATTTTTATAAATATAGATTGTCATATCATGTAATTTAGTTAATTACAACCTTAAGCATGAGTGTTTAATAACATGTCAGTGTATTTCTTTTAATAATATATAAATCACGTGTCACGTTCTTTATCCGCGATGAACTCCTCAAGTACTTGACCGATTTTAAATTAAATTTGCACACCGTCTGCAGTTTGATCCAACTTGAAAGATAGGATGGTTTTTATTTCGATTAATGGTCCCAATATTTATTAATTAACAATAAAATGATTTCTTATGTTGATTATTGTTATTAATTGTAAGTTTCATAATTCTAAAACAGATGGCGCCTTAAATCAGTTCTTACCGACAATTATAATATTGTCTGACATTAATATCTCATAGATGGCGCTGTGCTAAAAATACCAACGTTTCACATAAGCTACAATTTAATGGCATAAACACCACGTGTTGGTGAGGCTCACGCAATACATTGAAATCCAATTGTTCTTACTTTGTCAATTTTTGGTATTAGCATAGCCGGCCACGTGTTATTTAAAAACAAAAACCTTAGCCACAGCAACGCGTGGCCGGGTCTGCTAGTGTTTTTATATAAACCGCACTTAGTAATCCATTTTATGAAAAGAAGAACAAATATCTTATACACTGCAAAAACTGAGGCCTTAGAACTCACATTCCAAAGTGGTGGTGAAATCCACGTTGTAGATGTCTATCTGAGGAGCACGGCTAGAAAAAGTCACATCAGAGTGTGACCAGATTTAATAAGTATCGTATAATCGTTGCAAAAATTTTCAGAAAACAAGATTGCTTGACTACGACCTAAGCAATCCACTTGGCATAGCCGCCGGGTTCGACAAGCACGGAGACGCGGTCGTGGGCCTGATGAAACTGGGCTTCTCGATCATCGAAGTGGGTTCGGTCACGCCGCAGCCGCAGCCCGGGAATCCCAAGCCGAGGGTCTTCCGACTCCCGGAGGACGGAGCCGTCATCAACAGATATGGCTTCAACAGCATAGGGCACGACGAAGTATACAAAAAGCTGGAAGGAATCGAGAAGGCCGTAATGAATCGGGCACTCCTCGGCGTGAATCTGGGAAAGAATAAGCTCTCCGATGATGCAGGGAAGGATTATGTGTCCGGCATTGAAAAGTTCTCGGATGTGGCTGATTATTTTGTTGTGAACGTTAGCAGGTCAGTGGGAAATTCATTTACTGGTGGTTTAAATTTCATTAAGAGGCGCCAATGCCTCGACTTCATGGAAGGCGACAGATTCGTTACGGCTTGAGAGAAAACTTACAGAAAGTACAATTTAAAACTATTTAACACTTAGAGTACTTAACAATTCGTAATTACCTTCTTCCGTTTCACTTCAGGTGATCCGTTTGCTATTTCGCTTCGAGTAGTTCAGAGTACTAACTGCCTTCATGTCATCTCTGCAACGCTTTTATAGTCGATACGACATCCCTAGAATTATCGAGAACATTCCTCACAAGTCGAGTATTGACAATAGATGGCGTTACAGTAGTCGAGGGCTCTCGATATTACTAGGACTTTTGATATTCATTTCTGTTATTTGATGACATATGGCAATGTATTATGTACCAGATATTGAGGACTATTTAAGTCCAAACTAAAAATGTTTTTCTTTTCTTTTCTTTTTTTGGACAGCCCTAACACCCCCGGCCTGAGATCATTACAAAACAAGAACGAACTAGAAAACTTATTGACCGAAATAAACAGAGCTAGAAAACGGCGGAACTCGAACAAGCCGCTGCTCCTCAAACTGGCTCCGGACCTGAACGAGGACGAGCTAAAAGACGTGGTCAATGTCATTGGCAAACAGCACAGCAAGGTTGACGGCCTGATCATATCGAACACGACCGTCGAGAGGCAGAGCCTCAAGAATAAGGAGTTTGTGAACGAACCGGGCGGCCTGAGCGGGAAGCCGCTGACCAACAGATCTACGGAGATGATCAGGGACGTGTACAGATTAACTAAAGGTTCGTAAGTTGGCAACACTGCTGTAATCTGCTCGTTGTGATCAACCGTCTACGCTGGGACTTTTTGGCGGGAACGCGAGGAGTGAAGTTGTCTGATTTGTTTTGTCTACTTAGTGTTTCTTCAGGTTAAAATGTGTAATAATGGTGGTTTATTAACTGTTTAATATCTGTGAAAGTGCATAAATGTGGGAAAATGAAACAAAGCCGCTGGACGTAACTTCTCGGGATCCTCCAAAAAGTCCACTGAAAAAATTAGTAAATGACCACCATTTACTGAGATTATATTTCATCCCATATCATCTCATTTCATTTCATTTAATTTCATTTCACTCCATAATATCATTTTCCATAAAAATATAAATATAAATTAAAATAAGACATGACTTAAAGGTCTTAGTTACCAGGTCATAAAATCCCTTTAAAAAAATGTCTACGCCGCGGGTTCGGTGACCCCGCACGAGTAGGTATCAATTATTTTCCTGTACCTGCCGCGAAATTTTTAACTTTAAGGGATCATCGGATCACCCAGCCGTTTAAAGTTTAAAATTTGGAAAATATATCATAAAAAAAACTTCTTCGGCTAATTTAAATGAAGTAAACATAATTGAAGTTCAATGAAAAATATCGAACTGTTGATACTTATACCAAATGAAGTGGACCTTTAATTACAAAGATTTCGTTTTAACCGAAATGTCGCTTATTTATTTGGTATTAGCATCAACAGTTCGGTGTTTTTAATTGAACTTCAATTAAGTTTACTCCACTCAAATAAATAGCTAAGAAGTTTTTTTTTGTTCAGCAAGTTGACCATTGTTGTATTAATCGACTTCAAATAAAATTAGGTTACCATCATCAATTCAAGTTGTACTTTTTCATATGCCCGTGTTGCCTCAGAGCTTTGATAACTATATCCGATAGATGGCGCTTCTGGTGTGATTCTCGATAATTCATATTTAGTCGACTACATTGACAATATACTCATTTCAATTTGTTGAAATCGGGTTTTATTTTTCATATTATCGAAGTGTGAATATGGGCTCCGGTAACCATTTAACACCAGGTGGACTGTGAGCTCGTCCACCCATATATGCAATAAAAAAAATTTTTTTCAGGTAAAGTTCCGATAATAGGAGTAGGGGGAGTGTTCACGGGGCGTGACGCGTATGAGAAGATCCTGGCGGGCGCCGGCGCCGTGCAAGTGTACACCGCGCTCATCTACCACGGACCCCCGGTCGTGAGGAGGATAAAGGACGAACTGGCCGAGCTACTAGAGAGGGACGGATATACTTCCGTCAATGACGCCGTCGGTAAAGGAGTTAAATAGAAATGCCAAATCTATAGCATGATCACTATATTAATATATTTGAATTGAACCTGACAATAAAAATAAATAATAAATATTTTTAGATGTATTTTGACTATTGTTGATCCATTTGATCGTTATTAAGTGAAAACAGGCGCAATGAACTCCGGTGACCACTTAACATCGGATGGGTCGCGTCTCCACGTGTACAGATAGTGAAGGCAGCAAAAAAATTTAATATTAAAAAAATATATATTATATTGTTCTAACAACGACTCCATTTCTAATATAGTTCTTCATTTTTAAATGATATAATGATATTTAAACATAATATATAGGGTATGTTCAAATAACATTTAAAGTTTTCACCTTTAACTAGTTTTATGATTAGAAAAAAAACAATGCAATCACAATAATTCTTTTTTTTTTTTAATGAATTTGAACAATAATAAAATACTCGTAGAATAAAACAATATTTACAATGAATCTTCGTTTTTTTGCTTCGGATTACCTGTAAGACAAATTAATTATTTGGATGTGACAGTTAATAATGATTATGAATGATGTGACTTCCAGTCTGGTAATGGAAATGTGATCGAAAAATAAATAGTTTCAAATCAGATCAAAAAGATTCATCAATCCTGTGGGACATGGACGACTCTGACCAAAATTGGAGAATTTCTATAAAATAACCTTCGAGTTGATGATCCCAATATTAAACAGGTGGAAGTGGAAGTAAAAAAACATGCTTCTAAAGAGAAACTGAAATAAATAATATTATGTAAGTCAAGTCATGATTGTCGTGATTCTCCTGCCCTCCTCCCGGCCTTCCGGGGTCGGCGCAAAATGCTTTCTCCTTCCATACACTATCATATACCATTTCTTCGCTCACTCCCCTCTTACACATATCGTCTTTCACGCAATCCATCCATTACTTCTTTAGGTCTACCTTTTCCTCTAAAGCCTTCCACATTCATAGTTAACCTCTCTTACCAACCTCATTTTAATGTCGTCTCATCACATGTCCATGCCATCCCAAACGCGCACTTCTCAACTCTGTCACAGGTGCCACTTTCAGACTTCCTCTAACATATTCATTCCATATTCTCTCCATTCTTGTTATTTCACACATCCATTGCAACATTCGCATGCAATCACCTTTCATCCATCACTTTTAAAATTTTTGCCAAAACCTACAGTAAGTATTCTGTAAGTCAAGTAACAAAAAGAATTGTATTTTCATCGATCCTTGATACATGTGCAAAATTTTGAATCCATCAAAGGTTGAATTTAATGACAATTATGTTGAAAGACTCCATTAAGACCGATAACAAATTAAAGGATTTTAAAAGATGAGCCTATGGTAGATCCACTAGATCAGTGAGGTGATTAATCTTGTGATATAACAAACTAATATGATGTTCTCGTATGAGTTCCAAAACGAATGTAGTCAGAGACCAGAAGATTCAAAGTGTTAGATAAGTGTTCCACAAATGTTTGCTCAGCCCCTAATAACGTAACTTAATAGACAGTATTAAAGAGAGAATTACCTTCAATATTACATTTAGGAATTTGAGACTTCAGATATTTTTTACATTCTTCCAAATCGTTAACACTCTCCAAATTAAAGAGTATCAGGTGCTGCAGTTTCTCCAATATATTGAGTTCTTTAAGACCGGCATCGGTGACATTCACACATTTTGAGATTTGTAAATGCGAAAGTGTGTTCTTTGCGTACGACAATCCTTTCAGAGCCCGATCGTCTATATAATTATTATTATGCAGGATAATTTTGCTTAGCATCGTACAACCATCTGCAAATTTAAATTCACCTTAAAAATCAAAACTACATGCTAGACATGTGTAAGTAATGCGAGTGATATTACTCCGGTAATATTACTCTACGATGTAATGCAACATCACACATTACGCGAAGGAAACAAACCATCACACTATCACAGGTTTCGACGCTGCAACGCGATGGCTTGACGTGCAGTGCTACAGCACTACGCAAAATGAATGAGCAAGCGACACAGAATTATTCCTAGTGATTTTGAACCGTATGCCCTGGCCGCTAGGTACATTTTTATACCTATGGTACGTCTGAATTTTAATATAGGTATGTGTTTATATTTTTCATGCGGCCAGCCGGTAGTTCCCCGCAAGTACTTGTTTTATAGGTTTGTTAGGGATTGCTGGTCCATTAACGGTGCTTTGCACCACAAGCACCGGTCACCGTCTTCGTCGAACCCGTCGCTTGCGACGAAGGGCTCGACGAGCGAACTAGCCCATAGACACAGCCCACTGAGTTTCTCGCCGGATCTTCTCAGTGGGTCGCGTTTCCGATCCGGTGGTAGATTCTGCGAAGCACTGCTCTTGCTAGGGTCAGTGTTAGCAACTCTCCGGTTGAGCCCCGTGAGCTCACCTACAATCGTTAGGGTGAAGCTGAAATAGCCTCTCAAGGCTATCAGCATAGGTAGGGGGGGGGAAAAAAAGGGATTGCTGTAATACATTTTGCCAAGTAATCAACCTTCTCATTGCCAGCAACACCAATATGCGATGGTGTCCAAAACAAAATTATATTTTTATGATGATTATTAATTAAATTATAGTACTTTTCCCTGATATAAAAATAAAATAACTGGTGTTGGTAGATAATCTTGGATTATCTAATGCCTTCAAAATGCTCATACTATCAGAGATAACTAGCCATTTCTCTACTGCCTCAGCTTCAATATAATCAAGTGCAGATTTAATAGCATGACCCTCGGCTGTAGATATACTTGTTAAATGAGGGAGTTTATAACCATACCCCTTTCGAGCTTTGCAGTCATATACTGCCATGGAAACAGTAGTACTATCTTTAGCACCATCAGTAAACAATTTATTATAACTTTCGTATTTCTCTAAAGCCAAATATCCTCCTTACACTGTAAAGAATTATTTATAATAATTTGAATAGGATTCAATTTAGTTTTGTAAGTTGTATTATAACAAGGCCAAAGATCATTTTCAAATAAATATAAATTATAGTCTGTTTTAAATTTAAAATTTAATTTAAATAATAAAAATTTTAATTTTAAAATTTCAGGGTGATCCTGTGCCAGATATGAAACATAAGATTGTACATTATTTGAAATACTTTGTAACTTCAAGATGAGAGGATGTCTTGACACAGATAAGAGCTTCAAAAGAAATGTTGATTTAAGATATTCAAATATTAATGACAATGGAGGAATGTTAAATTCCACTTGCATGGAAATAATTGGAGTGGGCCTCATTGCACCAAGAATAATAAAAGCATTTATTTTGAATTTTATCTAATTTATCAACTACATTTTTATTATCAGAATAACATAAAAAAACATATTCAAAATGACTACGAACAATAGACTTATAAAAAATCAATAAGATTTTTGGATGAGCACCCCACAAAGAGCCGGTTAAAGATTTTAATAAGTTAGTAGCTTTTAATGTACGATCAGTTAAGCAATCAATATATTTGTTAAATTTGAAACTACTGCTGAATATGACACCCAAAAACCGAACAGAATTATCAACAGGTAGTTTATTATTATTATAGAAAATTTTAATTTGAGACAACCTAATATTCCAACCAAAAAAAAAAACCTTGCTCTTGTCAGTATTAATTTCCAAATTGAGTTCGTTGAAATAGCTAAGCAAATTTTGTAAAGCAACATTGATTTTTTGTATAATAAGATACAGATCACCACCCCTGCAATAAACTGCTAAGTCATCAGCAAACTGCAAGTTAGACACATCATTGCCCAATTTAAGATTAAGCTAATGAATATACATAATAAATACAAGCGGGCTTAAGAGCACACCTTTTTTTTTCCTACCTAAGCTCATAGCCTTGAGAGGCTAAATCAGCGTCGCTTTAACTAGTAGGTGAGCTCACTGGGCTCAAACCTAATGACGTTGCTAACACGAATCCTAGCAAGAGCCGTGCTTCGCAGAATCTACCACCGAATTGGAAGCGCGACCCACTGAGAAGATCCGGCGAGAAACTCAGTGGGCTGTGTCTGAGGGTTAATTTACTCGTCGAGCCCTTCGTCACAAGCGACGGGTTCGACGAGAACGGTGACCGGTGCTTGAGGTACCTAAAAGCACCGTTAGTGGATCGGGACGATCCGAAATAACGTGTTTGGGGGTGACTTCGACTGCTTTCCATTATTTCCGCAGGATCGGGAATGTAGTTACCGGCGGCCACGATGAGAGGGTCCTCGTGTCGTGCCGCTTTATCGAAGTGGCACATCGACGTCGACTGCACACCGACTGCACTGATACTTACTGATGGACTCTAAGTCCAGGTCGTCATGGAGGTCGACGTTCCTGACGAACCACGGGGCTCCGACGGGCTATCCTGCAAAAGCGGGATTGAATGACTTGGAATGATTTTAAGTTAGTGCGGGCCGCGTGAGCGAACACTACACTTGCATAGGTCATGACGGGGCGTATGCAAGTTTTGTAGTGTCACCTTATTTCTAAGGGACATTTTACTTCGCCTGCATATCTAGGGTAGAGGCGTCCTAGTATGAAGGCGGCACGGTCGCGTAACGTCTTTATGTGGGGGCGGAATTTCATCCCTCTGTCAAGGGTGACGCCTAAATATTTGACCTTCGGGGCCCACGGTATGGGTTGGTCGTACATCGTGATTGGGCGAATGGCGGAGGCGGAGGTGTTGACGCGCCTAGTCGGGAGTGGGATGCTCAATGTGGTGTTCGGAGGGCGACCCCTTTTGAAGAGCACCGCTGTGCTTTTCGTGGGGTTGATGTCGATGCACCACTTTCGGAACCACTGTCCCATGGTGGTAGCTGCGGTCTGGAGTCGAAATCCCACCTTGTGAAACTCTTTTATAAGAAAGTCTAGGACCAAACAAATTATTTTGATATTTTACAAAAAAAAATCTCTAGTAAAAAGTTATATAACCAATTGACCAACTTTCCAGGTAACTGTAATGACAACAAAATCGAAGAAAGCACATCAATATTGACATTATTAAATGCGCCAACAACATCAAAAAAACACAAACTAACTTTTCATTATGGGACAAAGCATCATGGATATCAAGACACAAATGACTCAGGCTTTCCCAGGCAGAACGGCCACGACGGAAATCAAATTGATTATAAGGTTTATTCCATTACTGTATATTCCATTACTTTCTATATAAAATTCAAGACGTTGTTTAATTAATTGTTCAAATAATTTTCTTGAGCATGAACTTAAAGTAATCGGACGATATGAGTCTCCAGAATCTAGATTCCTACCAGATTTTGAAATTGGCTCAAGACAATCTATTTTCCATTGCATAGGAATTATCGAATTAGACCATAGTTTAAAAATATGTAACAGTAACAATACATTATTATTATTTAACAATTTAAACATTTTATGAGATATCCAATCTAAACCACATGCTGTATCTTTTCGAGATTTTAATGCTGCTTTTAACAGCCTGGCCACGGGACATTCGCCAATACTCGCGCGGTGCGAACGGCGAAGCGTCTAGCGACTAAAATAAGCGCATAGAAATGTACCTAACAAGCCACGCGCACCGGCGACCGGCGAAATGTACTGAGCGAATCGCGCGGGCGACTTACGATGCGGCTGGCGAGCAAAACAAATGCATGATTATGGACGGCGCGAGCCACGGAGTCGAGCGGTAGTCGCGGCGAATAGTACAGTGATTAAATGAGTTTAGTTGTTTTCGCCGCGAAAAATGAACACCGAATTATTATTTTTTTATTTTTATTTTTTAAAGTCGTCGTGGCCTAACGGATAAGACGTCCGGTGCAATCGTGTTGAGCGATGCAACGGTATTCGAATCTCAGGCGGGTACCATTTTTTGTAATGAAAGACGTATTCAACAAATGTTCACGATTGATTTCCACGGTGAAGGAATAACATCGTGTAATAAAAATAAAACCCGCAAAATTATAATTTGCGTAATTACTGGTGGTAGGACCTCTTGTGAGTCCGCGCGGGTAGGTACCACCACCCTGCCTATTTCTGCCGTGAAGTAGGAATGCGTTTCGGTTTGAAGGGTGGGGCAGCCGTTGTAACTATACTTGAGACCTTAGAACATATATCTCAAGGTGGGTGGCGCATTTACGTTGTGGATGTCTATGGGCTCCAGTAACCACTTAACACAAGGTGGGCTGTGAGCTCGTCCACCTATCTAAGCAATAAAAAAAATTTAGCTGAAATACTAGCTAGACCAGCTATTTGGAATTCTAGCCACCCAAAGTATTTCTCGTACTTCTTGTAGAATTCTCCATCTATAGGTATACTCCGATTCTTATTCAAATCATGTACTTCACAATCTTTTCCAGATAATAGGTCCTGAACCAAAAAACTATTAATTTGTAAGCAATATCGAGATAATTTCGATAGACATTTCGCTGTCGGACTTCCTTACTAGTCGCGGCGGCGAACGTAAGTACCCTTTTTTTTTTTTTTTATGATTAAAGGATTACTGGTGGCCCGGAGGCCTTTCCAGTTTCACCAGGACAGGTGGGCGAGCAAAGGCTCAGCCAGGAGGGGTGGGATTTGCTAACAGCTACCCGAGCGAAGGAGACCTAACAGCTCAAGAGCAGCTGCTTCGCGAATGAATCTACTACCAGATCGGAATCGCGACCCGCTAAGAAAGAAGATCCGGCGAGAAACTCAGCGAGCTGATTCATGGGTTAGGTTGCACGGCGAACTCTTTGTCGAGTTCGACGAGTACCGTTACCGGGGTCCCTAAGCCTGCTCCCAGTGTTAGAGCTGAAGGCGTCTAGTGCAAAGGTTATTGGATCTGATGGATCCGTAAGGACGTGTCTAGGGCGTCGACGGTGACTGGCTCCTGCGTGATCAGGATTCGGGGAGTAGTCAGCGGCGGCAACGATAAGGCGATTATCATGACGCATAGCCTTAGCGAAGTACCGTTCCGACACTGATTTCATGTATTTCTGGATAGATTCGAGGCCCAGGTCATCGTGTAGGTCAATGTTCCTCACGAACTACGGAGCTCCGACGGCTAACCTGCAAAAGCGGGATTGTAGAGATTGGAGGGTGTCTATGTGTGTGCGGGCCGCGTGAGCGAACACTACACTCGCGTAAGTTATGACGGGCCTTATGCAAGTTTTGTAAAGTGTCACCTTGTTCCGAAGGGACATTTTACTCCGCTTACAGATCATGGGGTAGAGTCTACCGAGAATAAATGCGGCACGGTCACGGACTGATTTTATACGCGGGCGGAATGTAATCGATGCATCCAGGGTAACGCCCAGGTACTTGACCTTCCTGGCGCAGGGTATGGGTTGTCTAAAGAGAGTAATCGGGGGTGTGAGATTCTTCCTCCTAATCCGGGAGGAAATCCGTGTGGAGCTTCCCCTCTGAATTATCACCGCAGTACTTTTCCCTGGGTTGATGTCTATGCACCATTTTCGGAACCACTGTCCTAGGGCTAGGGCTGCGCTCTGAAGCTTCTTCGCGATTAGGGACTTGCTTCTACTGGAATAGTAAACAGTCGTGTCGTCGGCGAATAAAGCTAACTGGGTCGGCCGCGACCGGGGAATATCGTTGACGAATAAGCTAAATAGGAGGGGTGTGAGGACAGAGCCTTGCGGGACTCCAGCTGTGAGAGGTCGCGGGGAGGAGCGGGTTCCCTCGACTCGATATCGAGAAGAGCGGTTCGACAAGAAGTCCCGTATGATGAGCACGAGACTATCCGGCACGCCCATGTAAGTACCCGTGGCCTGCAAACGGTGATGCGCGAATGGTCGCCTTATCCACCGCTTCGTCGTTCGCACCGCCGATCCCCGTGGCCAGGCCGTAACTCTGTAATTGTGAAATCATTTATAAGGAAGGAATTTGATGAATTAATGTTATTAGGATTGAAAGTAGAAAAATTTTGTACTGTATCTGGAGTGTATTTAAGAACAAAATCATTAATCCATTTACAATTATTAAATGCTGCAGGAGGAGTAAAAGATTTATTAAGTTTTCTTGTTTCCAAATGTAATTCATTGTTTAATAATTCGTTTTTTTAAAGCTTGTAAACGTTAAAATTTATGAAAGAAAACAGACTAGGATAAGCTTTGAAATGTGAATATGCCTGTCTGCAATCATTCACAGCAGCACACTTGTCATTCCACCAAACTAATGAGATCCTCTTTTTCTTTTTTAGATCATTATGCGAATTTTGAAATTTATTCTTTGTGCTTACTTTAATTTCTGACAAAGTAATAGCTTTAGTAACTATAGAACAAAACCTATTATAACAGTCCAATCTGAAAACCATTGAGCAATTCATTTACATTTTTTCATAGAAATCCCAATCTACCAGTTTCAGGTTAGCATGCTGAGGAATGTTAGAAGAAAACTGAGGAAAATTAACTGATGAAGACACTGTATACTTTGTTACAGAAGGCAAATGATAACTTCCTAGCGAATCAGAATAAGCCTGTCAAGAACAAGATAAAGCCAATGAACATGATACCATTGTTAAATCAAGACCATTTGGACTGAATACATGCAAACCTACTGTTGTAGGTTGTCCGTCGTTTAAAAGCACTAAATCATTATCGTCAATGGAATCCATGATTAATCTGCCTCTAATGTTAGTTTCACTATAACCCCAAGAAGTATGAAAAGCATTAAAATCACCAGCAATAATCAATGGTTTTGGAATACCATTCAACAGACTATCAAATTTCCTTTTTTCAAAAATACGTGTACATTGGCCAGGACTGTAAAAGCTGATTAATGATAACTCTTTATTATAAACTTTAATTATAAATGCTACATTTTGCAGTGAATCATCAAAAAAGGTATTGATTTTCTTGTATTGTATACTATTATGAATTTAAATGGCTACCCTGTTATGAGAATTGCCACGGTCATTTCTCACAACTGAGTAACTTCTAATATTATATTTTATGTGAGATCTTAACCATGTTTCAGAAATTAAAGCAATATATTTTTTTATAGATTATATAGGTGGACGAGCTCACAGCCCACCTGGTGTTAAGTGGTTACTGGAGCCCATAGACATCTACAAAGTAAATGCGAATTAAATTAATTATTATTATTTTTTTTATATTTTACTCCCTTGACGAAACGAGAAAAACACGAACTTAGGAGCATCATGTTCCCATCCCCTATCGGTTTCTCCACTTTCAAACTATCAATAAATACAGGGTATTCATTGCCCGCAATTAGGTCGTCGGGATATCTGTGACAGTAGTCTGCGACCCTATAAGCAGCATACTTATCATCCTTTCTGCAATCATCATATTTGTTGGAATCATTTTAATCTGTTGATACAGATTCGGCGTGAGAATCCATAATTTCAGTACTTTTTACCTCATCAGCTTTATGTTTTTTACTTACGGATATTATTTATATACAAATCAAGACAAATTTACAAATACAAACAATTTCTACAATAAATTTTTTTTTGTTGCAAAAAAAATCAGACCATAGATATCTACAAATTAAATGCCACCACCCATCTTGGGATATGAGTTCAAAGGTATCAGTACAGTACAAACGGCTGCCCCACCCTTGAAACCGAAATGCATTATTGCTTCACGACAAAATTAGACAGGCCGTCCTACTACCAGTAAAAAGTAACTTAATAAAACTTTATAGCTATTTGCAGTTGGTTTGGTATTGAGGGCATATTTATTCAAAACAATGGCATTTATAAGCCTATAGCTCGAACCGTGAATTATTAGATTTTATAGTATGTAACCAAATAAAAAATTGGGGGTACTTACAAATTTGCAAATACGATTTTCGTTGTCGCGTATATATGTTTTTTGGCTAGTCTAATGAAGGACCGCGACGTAAATTGCGTCATGCACTTTTATAGATTATGTCAATGCTTTGCAATTGATCATGATGATGCAAATGATGTGCAATTGCGTAACGCCACTAGTCTCTATCTTCAAACCGGAAAGCACGTTTGTTTCGCGGCAGAAACGAGCAGGCCTTCGTACTTATCCATGACAACCCTACCAATACTAATTTAAAGAGGGTTCCAGTATTAGGAGGAAGATTTGACGCGGATTGTAAATGTCAGAAAACTTGATTACTTAAATGTGGGAATCCGTAGTGAGATATAGCTGAATCGGTTCCATCGATTTCAATTATTTTGGGTAGGATCGTATCGTCGGAAGGAAGTACATTGTAATCCTCAATTCGTTTCCCATCCGCCCAAACGATTTTACCGCCATTTTTCAAGACCCACTCAGCGCACGCTCGATCAGCTCCGACGGCCTTGATCCTGTCGGGATCAGGTTTGTTGAACATCATATTCACGTACTCCCAGAACGATCTTTTTTGATCGATTCTCGGCGTATATGGATAACGAGAAATCTAAAAACAAACAATATAGATATAGATGCGTTCGAGGAATATTATGCACTTGATAACTTGGAATACAGTTTAAGGAACGTACGTTACGTAAAATTTTTTGCATTTTGACTCTGTTAGGTGCTTTGAATGTGAAGAAATACGTTGAATTAAATAACACAAACAATTTAATCAGCTGTTTCGGATTTGACGTTTGCGTATAATTCATTTTCTTTAAAGATTTTATGGCTTGGTACCGAGACTTTTAAGTCAAGTGTTTTATTTTCTTTTTTTTTCCTACCTAAGCTGATAGCCTTGAGAGGCTATTTCAGCGGAACCTTAACTAGTAGGTGAGCTCACGGGGCTCAAACCTAACGACGTTGCTAACACGAACCCTAGCAAGAGCCGTGCTTCACAGAATCTACCACCGGATCGGAAACGCGACCCACTGAGAGGATCCCGCGAGAAACTCAGTGGGCTGTGTCTGAGGGTTAATTTACTCGTCGAGCCCTTCGTCGCAAGCAACGGGTTCAATGAGAACGGTGACCGGCGCTTGAGGTACCTAAAAGCACCGTTAGTGGATCGGAAGGATCCGAAATGACGTGTTTGGGGCGACGTCGACTGCTTTCCATTATTTCCGCAGGATCGGGAATGTATAGTAGAATTATTTTGTCCGTGCAGTTTGGGTCATAAAAATCGGAGCGGTGAAGCGAGTATTTCGCTCTCTCTTCCACTCACGAGCCTTATGGACGGGCATAGTGATGCACATTATTGTTGTCGATAAGCGTTATCGATAGTATATTTAATTTTGTTTTTTTGTGGGTTAGCGATAAAAATGAAAGAAAAAATCACTAATCGAACACTTACACCACATATCGCCGCAGCAAGTTAACGAGAACGGCAGAAATTAACACTTTGTAACTTTTCGGGACCTATTCTTATTTTGAGTGAAAAAATTTAACACATTGTTTATAACACGTCACGATGAGAGGGTTCTCGTGTCGTGCCGCTTTATCGAAGTGTATTTTCTTCGTTAATTCTGTTTTAATATGAAAAATTATTTGAAACAAAATGAAGTGAAGTTGTTTAATTCGAGACTATAATCAATTAGAATGAAATTTAATAAAACGAGCTATGTTAATGAAATATAGTCGCAGTAAATTGATGATTATTATATTTCCTTTAATAAATTTATAATTATATGAGTAGTTAAGTATTATTAAATGAATAGATTCTGATATAGATACTTACATCAATAATGATCTTCGCAGCAATACTGTACTAATTTTTCTGATAAAGATTAATTTCTTTTCATAATTTTGCACCACTTATCTTTTATTTTTTTCTGCTTTGGTACCGTAAAAAATTTTTTATCAGGAGAGTCGTGTTCGTACACATAGACACGATGTAGTATTTGTAATGTAATTTAATTTTCATAATAATACTTGACATTGTGTTGCGCTAGTCGCTGCATCGTCCCGAGATTGGCGAGACTGGTGGTAGGACCTCTTGTGAGTCCGCGCGGGTAGGTACCACCGCCTTGCCTATTTCCACCGTGAAGCAGTAATGCGTTTCGGTTTGAAGGGTGGGGCAGCCGTTGTAACTATACTGAGATCTTAGAACTTATATCTCAAGGTGGGTGGCGCATTTACGTTGTAGATGTCTATGGGCTCCAGTAACCACTTAACATCAGGTGGGCTGTGAGCTCGTCCACCTATCTAAGCAATAAAAAAAAAAGACTTGTGACGTCAGTGCTAGGCCGGCCGGCTGCGCGTCATGCGATTTCAAAATGGGAGGGAAAAGCTTCAGAATTCCGTCATTTATGAAGATAATTGAAAAAAAAAACACTAGGATTTATTACAGTCTTAGTGTGATTATTATAAAAGAAAATTGAAAAAATGGAAACTTCCTTATTGCTAACACTAGCCCTAGTAAGATCAATGCTTCGCCGAATCTACTACCGGTAAAAGGGTAGGTTTTAGGAAAGAGTTCGTAAAGCCATATCCAAATTAAACGATTAGACTTTGACCTCATTTCATTTCTCGTTCATGGTGTAAAAGGAATACAGTGACCACTTGGTTCCAGGTGAACTGTGAGCAGGTCTTCTTTCACATCCTTGCGTTGATAGTCCCAAATGCTGAGGGTCCTAGCTTCCTTTAATAACTTTCTCTGGATTATCCTGCGCCAACCTAGCCTTCGCTCATCTGTATAGATGGCATCTTGGACTGAAGTGTTGAGAGTAGAGCGTATCTGATCCGACCATCGCATTGGAGTTCTGCATCTGGGCTTTCTACCGCATACATTTATTTTTTTATTGCTTAGATGTGTGGACGAGCTCACAGCCCACCTTGTGTTAAGTGGTTACTGGAGCCCTTAGACATCTACAACGTAAATGCGCCACCCACCTTGGTATAGTTACAACGGCTGCCCCACCCTTCAAACCAAAACACCTTACTGCTTCACGGCAGTAATAGGCAGGGTGGTGGTACCTACCCGCGCACTCACAAGAGGTCCTACCACCAGTAATTACGCAAATTATAATTTTGCGGGTTTGATGTTTATTACACGATGTTATTCCTTCACCATGGAAGTCAATCGTAAACATTTGTTGAGTGCATATTTCATTAGAAAAATTGATACCCCCGCCTGAGATTCGAACACCGGTGCATCACCCAACACGAATGCACCGGACGTCTTAACCTTTAGGCCACGACGACTTCAAACCTTGCCTGTTACCAGCAGCTTTTCTAAATTGTCGCCTATCTTTCCGGTAATGTGTCCGAAGAATTTGAGACTCCTCCGCGGGCATATAGTGGTAAGCTGCATCGGAATCTTAAGCTCGATAAGAATGGATTCGTCGGTTCTGTGTCCTTGTGGTCTTCCTAACATTAGTTAAATAAAAAAGCAGTAAATCAATTCAATATGAACAGCATCGATATATACGAGCATTACGAATACTACCTACCAACAATATTCTCAAATATTTTACAATAGAAATACACACATACACAAAGTTTTACTAATTTATCAGTAGTTTTTTAATTTAAGTGTATATTTTATGATCTGTGGCACTTAATATCTATGATCTGTGGTCATCGTATTGATGTTAGAATTGTTAGACACGCCTAGAGCAATTGTTTTACATTTTACCCATTTCTTGCCTTTTAAAATTGTGTTATTTTACGAATTTAATTAAAAATAAACTTGTTTTTTATTGAAAAAGTAGTGTTAGTGTCGTATTTTCATTGCAACGGTGTGAAAACAAGGTAAAAGTTATTTTCTTTATGTTGACATTATACAAACCGATGAAATAAAATCGGCCTCTCTTATTACCAACTATTTTTAACACTAATGTCAACCGATTTTGTCTGTATAATATCAACTAGCATTCAAGAAATACGTGTTGTATACAAATTCAAACAAAATAAACAGTATATTGTGAGTGAAAAGATAGAAAAACTAGTAGAACGTGATAATTAATTTATTGTTCTGATTTCAACATTTCCGTAAGCCTGGTTTTTATGAGTCACCATTCCCATGAATAGATCATTATTGACGTGAAAGTTAATGTTGATATTAACACCTTTATCTGTTTTTGTTAAACCGATAATTAAAAATAGCCTGTAGGCATTGTCCGTGTCGATATGCGATGTGATCCTAAGCTCGCTACCACCAGTAGCAGTAAAAATCTTCATTTTACCATTATTTCGCCGTAAATACTGTATGAATTTAGATTTGACGTTGTTTTAAAATCAAGTCAAAATACCATGAAAGACTCTTTAATCAAAACACTCTAGATTGTTGCAAGGTTCTGAAATTGAATATATTCGGAGTAAAATTCAAACTGCTTTTTAATATAGCGTTTTTAATTCTGTGACTCATGAAAACTGAAGAAAATACAATATTGTAATTATGGTTGGTAGGGTGCATGCGGCAGAGATCCGAATGTTGAGACGGATGTGTGAAGTGACAAGAATGAACAAGGTAAGGAATGAGTATATCAGAGGAAGTGTGAAAGTAGCTCCGCTAATTAATAAATAAAAAAACGAACAATTAGTTTGGTATGGACATGTGACATGTAGAGAAATGATGTATGTGACTAGGAGATGTATGGAAATGGTAGTGCAAGGTAGAGAGGAAGAGGTCGACCGAAGAATACATAGATGGAATGTGGGAATGACAATATGAGAGAGAGAGAGAGGAGTGAGTGTTGAGCTGACTGTTGATAGAAGAGAACGAAATAGAAAAATAAGCTGTGCCGACGTCATTTAGTGGGACAAGGTGAAGAAAAAGAAGAAGAGGGTATTATATGATGCAGAAAATATTGACGTGACAACGTCTTATAATTCGATGGAGCCGGCTTCACGCACGAAAAAACATGACATCATGCGGCGTTAACTCGCTCTGAGGCGTTCCATTTAAGGCTTGAAGTGCAAGCGAGAGCGTGCAACGAGCGACAAAGAGGCACAATCGGCCTCCGCGTTCGGCAGAGTTCGACATCTGTCTCTCTCCTACTTGAGTGAGCGATGCACCTGCGTGGACAGTTGCTATATAATAACATTTACATGTTTTCGTCGAGTATGAAGTTCAGTGAAAAGTGAATGTGGTGTCAATTGCTTATAGCAACGATAATTGAAAAATGAAACCATTCCATCAGTATTTTCTTATGACGTTGTCATGTTCAACTATCGTCAGTAAACCGACTTTACAGACAAGTGATTTTTTTTTATACATGGAAGAATAATATTTTGATTTTATGAGTTTTGTAAATTGATTTCTATAGAAATTAAAACAAATAGTGTATCAAAGTGACATCTCAAAAATATGTATTTCTGTAAATTTATTTAGTGAAGACAAGTATTTTCGACCAAGAAGTGATTTAATTGATTTTGGGATCTTAGTTTTAGTTCTTTCTTCTTTTACAGTCAACGATGGCGACTATGACGGATCAGTATGGCACAACAGGTACCTTGTCCCTGAAATGGGATCCTCGCAACTTGGAGATCAGAACCATGTCAGTGGAACGCACACTGGAACCTCTAGTGCTCCAAGTCACTACCCTAGTAAATAACAAAGACCGGGACGCCAAAAAGAAGAGACGTGAGTACTTACCGATTTTACATTGGCAATATATAAAACAACAATAAAACTGAATAATTTTTTATCATTGCTTAGATGGTTGGATGAGCTGAGAACCCAGCTGGTGTTAAGTGGTTTGGAGCCCATGGACGTCTACAATGTATATGCTGTACTCGCCTTGTTTTAAGTTTATTTTATATAAAAGCTTAGATCTTTTATTTATCGATTGAGGCACTACGAAGTCTGCCAGGTCAGCTACTATATACATAAAGATTGACTATCAGATAGACAGATCACCATTTCTTCCACTTAATAACTGAAATGGTTTTATAGGGTTTGATGGGATTTTTACTGGCAAGTGGCTTAACCTATAAGCTGTCACATAGAAATTAGACTCGGTTGAAAGAATTTATAATTGTGGATAAAATTAACTTCGATTGAGACTTCGTATATCACGGGGGATATTCTGATACCTGTATAAGGTCCTATTCTTATAAATATCATTCTTGGAATGTTGATGATTACGGTTTGTGAGTTTTGACGTCATCATGGCCTAAAGGATGAGACGTTCGGTGCATTCGTATATAGCGATGCACCGGTGTTCGAATCCCGCAGCCGGGTACCAATTTTTGTACTGAAATACGTACTTAAAAAATGTTCACGTTTGATTTCCACGGCGAATGAATGACATCGTGTAATAAAAATCAAACCCGCAAAATTATAATTTGCGTAATTACTGGTGGTAGGACCTCTTGTGAGTCCGCACGGGTAGGTACTACCACCCTGCCTATCTTTGTCGTGAAGCAGTAATGCGTTTCGATTTGAAGGGTGGGACAGCCGTTGTAACTATTCTGACCCCTTAGAACTCATATCTCAAGGTGGGTGGCGTATTTACGTTGTAGATGTCTATGGGCTCCGGTAACCACTTAACACCATGTGGGCTGTGAGCTCGTCTACCCATCTGAGCAATAAATGTGATTGAAGTATTTATGTGTTCACAGCTGGCAAGTCAAAGCGTGCGAGCGCATTAGTGGCTACTGTGGAACGAGCCACGGAGATCTTCATAGAACGAGGTCAGACCATAGCCTATGAGAATCCAGAGATCACTCAGCAGATGCTGACGGCTGTCGAAGATGTAAGGAAAGCCGGTAAGTTTGATACATGGATAATTGTTTGTTTTTAATTTACCCTTCGATTGCCATGTAGGTCATTGGTGCCCAGTGCTCGTAATTATGTCGATTTCTGTTACTAAGCCCCTGGGTTGCTTAACTCTTCCTTATTTTCTTTTTAATTGTATGTTTCAGTCATTTAGTCGCTTAGAAATAGATTCATTTTCTGTACCTTTATATTCGCCTTTCCCATACTGCATAACAGTAGACTGCGGGCATAACAATATGTTGCATGGGCTAGTTTATGCGTTTCCAAACACTCACATAAACTAATGCGTTTATCGGTGATGGGTCAGGAGCGACAATGAGCGTCTCGGCTCGCGAGTTCTCGGACCAGCCGTGCGCTTCCTCGGTGCGCTCCGGCATGGTGCGCGCGGCCCGGGGGCTACTGTCCGCCGTCACGCGCCTCCTCATCCTGGCGGACATGGTGGACGTGCATCTGCTGCTGTCCAAGCTCACTGCGGTAAGTTAAAGAGGAAAACCTTGGATATTTCTGGTATACCATCTGAAAATAATGCAATATGAGACGGTTTGGTGGTATGTGATGAGATTTAATTGTGCATTTTCAGGAATTTAAAAGAAAGTTTTCATGACTTCAGTTTTTTAGAGGAAGTCATCAGTAACCTGATGTTACCAGAGAAGTCAACAGTCTGTTGGGATGAAGTAACTATTGATTTTTGTTTTTCGTTACTTCCCTATGGTCAGTGGACATTATGTTGTAGATTAATTTCTGCCTTCAGGTCGGAATCAAAACAAAATGTTCAAGGTGTACTCTTGTGTGAGGGAATGCGAGTAGATCAATTTGTCAAAGATTTGAGGCCAGTGACGCTCGGCTCTAACCTCGGAGCTGTCCTCAGGTGGAGCAGGATCTGGACAAATTAAAGGCTGCGTCGTCCCAGTCGGAGGTGGTGGAGCTGGCGCGGCAGTTCGGCCACTCCGCCGCGCAGCTCTCCGCCGCGGCAGGGAAGCGGCAGAACGAGCTCAAGGTACACATTACTCTTCGAAGAGAAATATGGGTCTAGTACGAAGCATCACGCACTCCATATGTTCCAGGAGCCCCGCATGAAGGACGAGCTGGCTGCGGCCCGGGCCGTGCTGAAGAAGCACTCGACGATGTTATTGACAGCCTCTAAGGTAATTGACATGGCAGAGGAGCGTCCCCCCGCCCGTCCCGCCCTCACTGCGCGCTTCCGTCCGCAGGTGTACGTGCGCCACCCGGAGCTGGCCGCGGCCAAGGCCAACCGCGACTACGTGCTGCGCCAGGTCTGCTGCGCCGTCGACACCATCGCCTCCGTCGCCAAGGGACAGCCACTGCCCGACGGTGAGCCCCCAACCAGTCCCCGCCCGTGTGGGCCGAGGTGCGTTCGTGCTCACGCTGTGTTGTTGTTCCAGGGAGCAGCCGCGCGACAGACGGCCCTGGGGAGCTGGCCCAGGCCCTCGACGACTTCGACGTGAGTGGGGGAGGGGGAGGGAATAATTAGAACATTTAGATTAGCGTGCACTGTTTCTGAAACAATAGGACGCTCTCTCTTGAGGTCTGCGGTTGGACTTCGTGAGGTTGATGTAGTTTGATCAGAGGCTTAAGAAAAATTTTTTTGTTGGAGCTTGAGATGCTGATATCAATTTGCTAACCTAGTCAAAATAATATCTACAGCTCTCACGACTTTTATTTGATTGACACGTGGAGTGACGAATAAGACGCATCTTGAGAATTTTAAGTGTTGAGGTCGTTTACTAATCGAATGTTGTCAGGAACGTATGGTCATGGAGCCCTTACAGTATTCGGAGCTGCGCACTCGACCTTCGCTGGAGGAGAGGCTGGAGTCCATCATCTCCGGGGCCGCGCTCATGGCCGACAGCTCGTGCACCAGGTGAGGTCCCCCGCCCCAGTCCCCCTGCCCCCACCCCGGCCTCCGCTCACCACCCCCGTGTTGCAGGGACGAGCGGCGCGAGCGCATCGTGGCGGAGTGCAACGCCGTGCGCCAGGCGCTGCAGGACCTGCTGCACGAGTACATGGCCAACGTGAGTCGTGTTTGAGGTCTTCCTAGTGCATGAATCAATGACATAGTGCAGTAACCACGGCTCCCTTCCGTGCCCCCCAGGCCGGCAAAAAGGAGCAGTCGTCGGGGCTGGAGCGCGCCATCGAGTCCATGTGCCGCAAGACGCGGGACCTACGGAGACAGCTGCGCAAGGCGGTGGTGGACCACGTGTCCGACAGGTGCGGTCCCCGGAGGACGGCCCCCCTCGTCTACTGTCTACAGTGTGCTCTATATATACATTGTCTTGTAGTTTCCTGGAGACGAACGTGCCGCTGCTGGTGCTGATGGAGGCGGCTCGGAACGGCAACGAAAAGGAGGTCGAGGAGTACGCCCTCGTGTTCACGGAGCACGCCAACAAACTCGTTGAGGTGAGCGGCGCCCGCAGCCGCAGCGTGCTGGTGGTTTTGATATGGAATTTATTGTTGTTGTTGTTGTTGTTGCAGGTGGCGAATCTGGTGTGCTCCATGTCGAACAACGAGGACGGCGTGAAGATGGTGCGCCACGCCGCCGACCACATCGAGGCGCTGTGTCCGCAGGTGAGGACCGCGGGGGATGTGAGGGGGACCTCAAGAAAATTAAAGCCTAACTACTACTCTCAAAAACTAACTTGTTGCTCGCTTCAACTGCTCGATGACAGCTTGAATTAATACAATAAAAGAATCGATAAGCATACGGTTAGACGCGATAGAGCGAGATAAACAATAATTAATCCGTCGAATCCATTTTTAAACAAAAAATACGAGTAATGATGCGATCGTATTACGGCGAATGTTATTAAATTTGACCTTTATTGCAAAGATAAAGGAAGCTGTTTGATGTGTCGACACGGTGGGAGCGGCGCCGGCGGAGTGCCTCAGAGGCCCGAGACTTTTGTGCGCGATTTGTTTAGCGAAATTGGAGCTATCGTTATTACTTTACTCCTGTAGTTGGTGAGGGCATGGTCACCCGATGTTAAGGGGTTATTGTACTGGAGTTTACAAATATAACGTGGATAGAACCACCTACTTTGACATATGAGGTCGAAATCTCTAATCTTAACGGTAGGGAGCGGCTTAGCTTTGCCCCTGGCATTACTAACGTCCATGAGCGACGGTAACCATTTACCATCAGGTGGGTGCTCTCGTTTGCCCGCTAGGACAAGAACTAGTACCTACCTATGACTTAAAACAAACACTCGTCTTGTGAGCTCGCACGGGTCTGGACCACCGTCCTGTATATTTCTGCCGTGAAACAGTAATTTAGTGTGTGGTGGCGGCATTTACGTTGCTGTCTATGGGCCACTTGTCTGACCGCTAACTGTGGGGCGGGGCGGCAGGTGGTGAACGCGGCGCGCGTGCTGGCGGCGCGGGCCCGCTCGCGCGTGGCGCAGGACAACGCCGCGGCCTTCGCGCACGCCTGGGAGCGCGCCGTGCGTCTGCTCACCGAGGCCGTGGACGACATCACCACCATCGACGACTTCCTCGCCGTCAGCGGTGAGCCCCCCGCGAGCACCCCGTCCGCCCCCCCGCGCTCTGCTCTCACCGTCTGTGTCCGCCCCCCCAGAGAACCACATCCTCGAGGACGTGAACAAGTGCGTGGTGGCGCTGCAGGAGGGAGACCCCGACTCGCTGGAGAGGACCGCCGGCGCCATCCGGGGGAGGGCCGCCAGGTACGTGCGTCCCCCTCTGAAGGGACCGGAGTCCCATTGTGTGAGAGTGTCAGGTGCCAGGTAGACTGACCATCCGCTCGTGCCGCAGGGTGTGCTCCGTGGTGACGCAGGAGATGGACAACTACGAGCCCTGCATCTACACCAAGCGCGTGCTGGAGGCGGTCACCGTGCTGCGGGACCAAGGTCAGTCCGCCAGATCTACTTTAATGCTCTCACTCATACAAGGTTCGTGTTTTTGCGAATTAAATAAAAAAAATCTTTTTAATACGCTTTTATTAGCTTCAGACGTGTATATAGTATGTAACGGAATCTTTGAACATGATTTTGACCCCCTTCAAAACGTCGGATTAACTCGAAATTTGGTATAGGTACTTACTAAGGACTGATGACAATTCAACATTAAAAAAATAATTGAAAAAATTGAATTTCAACTAAAAAATTAAAAATATAAAATTGTTCAAGAAAACTAACAAAATACGCTTTTATAGAAAATCCACCAAAAAAATTTAAAATAAATTTTAATAAATTTGAATTAAAATAGTGTAAGAAAAAATGATTTTACTGTAAAAAAAGCGTGGGGTGCATAGTATCAGTAGTTATAAATATTTTATAAACAGATATGAGTAGAAGGGTTATTTTGATAATATCCTGAAAAGCACCCCGCGCTTTTTTTACAATAAAATTCAATACAAAATATTTCAAATTTATAAAAATTTATTTTACTATATAATTATTGTAACTTAACATATACAAAAAATCTATTAGTATGTGTGGTCGGTCGTATGTTAGTACAGAGTCGCCTCGTGACAATGAATCGGTAGTGGCTCCGGCACTCGTGACGTCATTTGAGGTCAAAACGCGCGGCGACATATGACGTCATCGTGAATTGTGGTCTTGAATTCGTATATAACATTTCTCGTCTTTGCCGCTGATGGGCGAGGAGTTCCCTGGTCAGCTCCCGGCCCGGTTGAGGAGTTGGTATCTGGAGTCCCCTCCTTTTATTAGCCGTAGCTAGGAATGCAAAGTATCAATGGAATGAATGAAAGTACGAGAGGAATAAATGCGTGAACTGGTATGATAAAGAGGCTCGGAATGAATGCGTGACCTAGTTTTTAAGCCCCTTATGGGCAGGAGTATCAACTATAATTAAAATTAAAACAAAAAATGTAAATATGAATCTCTGGCTTTGTTGTTTGCTAGAGATACGGATATAAAAAAAAAATATGTTAAGATGCGCTGTCATCGAAGCTGTACGCCATTGGACAGGTTAGGATCTGACTGCAAAAATGACGGTCCCCCTGTTTGTTTGTATCCCACTGATGAAGGAGCTGGTGGAGTGGGGAGGTGGCCCCCTGTGTGGTCCTATTAATTCTTCTGCGTGGCCGGAGGAGGGTGATCCTGGATGTATTGGAGCGCTCTCACGATGGCTTCGGGTATCGGAGGGGGCGTGGGAATGAAGGATCCCTGGAATTTCCAAGGCATTTAATCACAAACGAATCGTAACATCTATATGTCGGAGACGGTCATTACTTTAGCTAAACGAAACGCAGCACGATTCCCGAGAGATGGCAGCACGATTGCGGTATCGTCGGAACTCGGCTAACTTCGTGCTACGACAAAACCTAGCCGATGGAGGCGCGTAGACGCCATTACGGCCTGGCCACGGGGATCGGCGGTGCGAACAGCGAAGCGGTGGACGAGGCGACCATTCGCGCAGCACCGTTTGCTGGCCACGGGTACTTACGTTCGCCGCCGCGACTAGTAAGGAAGTCCGACAGCGAAATGTCTATTATATCGAAATTATCTCGATATTGCTTACAAATTAATAGTTTTTTGGTTCAGGACCTATTATTTGGAAAATATTGTGAAGTACATGATTTGAATAAGAATCGGAGTATACCTATAGATGGAGAATTCCACAAGAAGTACGAGAAATACTTTGGGTGGCTAGACTACCAAATAGCTGGTCTAGCTAGTATTTCAGCTATTTTTTTTTATTGCTTAGATGGGTGGACGAGCTCACAGCCCACCTTGTGTTAAGTGGTTACTGGAGCCCATAGACATCCACAACGTAAATGCGCCACCCACCTTGAGATATAAGTTCTAAGGTCTCAAGTATAGTTATAATGGCTGCCTCACCCTTCAAACCGAAACGCATTACTACTTCACGGCAGAAATAGGCAGGGTGGTAGTACCCACCCGTGTAGACTCACAAGAGGTCCTACCACCAGTAATTACGCAAATTATTATTTTGAAGATTTCATTTTTATCACACGATGTTATTCCTTCACCGTGGAAATCAATCGTGAACGTTGAGTGTTGTTGAGTACGTATTTCATTACAAAAATTGGTACCCGCCTGATATTCGAACACCGGTGCATCGCTCAACACGATTGCACCGGACGTCCGTTAGGCCACGACGACTTTAAAAATATAAAATAAAAAATAAATAAAAAATATAAAAATTTCGGCGTTAATTTTTCGCGGCGAAAACAACTAAACTCATTTAATCACTGTACTATTCGCCGCGACTGCCGCTCGACTCCGTGGCTCGCGCCGTCCGTATTCATGCATTTGTTTTGCTCACCCGCCGCATCGCGCGATTCGCTCGGTGCATTTCGCCGGTCGCTTCGCCGGTCGTCGGTACGCGTGGCTTGTTAGGTACATTTCTATGCGCTTATTTTAGTCGCTAGACGCTTCGCCGTGCGCACCGCGCGAATATTCGTATCGGCGAATGTCCCGTGGCCAGGCTGTTACACTCACCAACCAGCCTTCTTGAAGAGCGGTGCCTCCGTTCTAAGAACTGTCATTCGTTTTCGTTTGCTAACGTCAAGAGAAGATTTCTATATTGTTCTAAGTCAACAAACGTGATTGGTGTACTCAATATTTCTCTTAGCTCGATCACCCTATTCGCCCCTACGATGTCTGACGACAGTGTTAATAGTTATGGCTTCTCCGACATCTATATGTTAATAATACGTGAAGCAAAAACTTTGTACCCCTTTTTACGAAAATTGCGTGGACGAAGTATGAAATTTCCCACACTTATAGAGAATATAGAGAAAGAGTGCAGAATGCTAATTTTTTTTTTAATTATGTATAAAAAATACATTAAATCAATTTTAAAAAAACATTACACACGCTACCATGTCTTTGACACACACGCATATATACTCTTTTGTTTATTGCTTAAAATCTGTGGTTATATTGAATGTGGATTAATATTGTTTTATTTGTCTATAGTGTAGTCTTGGCGAAATCTGTGATTATAGAAGTACTTTGTCTACCAAGTCTTCAACAATAGAACCATAATAATGTTCAAACTTATAGTTTTAATTAATTATTATAGTATAAATTCGACTACTGGGGGACTACTAATTTAAAATTCACGTTCGCCACGACACTAAGCCGTAGTCCGGAACGAGGAGTGTTTAGGAGGAAACTTTAAATATGTGATGGTCACCTGCGGCTGGTAACCGTTCTCGTCGGCTACGTACTGGATCTCGACGAGTTGACCGTCGGGCGCAGTCCAGCTGACCCTGCCCTGGACGCTCGGTATCGGGTTCTCCTGAAATTGAGAATCAAGAGGATCTGGTTGAAAAATCGGACGACTAGTCTCTGGTCTGGAGTCTATATCGTTGTCACGGGCCCACTTCTCTAGCGATTTTTTTCTTTTTGGAACAAAGTTCCTTATGGGACGATTCGGAGGGGTACTCAAACCGAGAAAAAACGTCCGTAACGTAAGATTTTTATTAGTAATGCACACAGTGTACGACTTAACTTTGTAATAATATACAAATTAGTAATGCACACAGTGTACGACTTAACTTTGTAATAACGTACAAAAAATAACATACTTTTTTTTATCATTCATTTACCACGATCTCAGAGCGTTCGTTTGCGCAATACACTAACTCTTATGCAAATAACCGTGAATAAAGTGTACCACAATAAGCTCGCACATTACCGAATGACCGTGGGTTGTTGCGAAACCTCCAGTTTTATCTTATACTTTTAAACGAGCAATTCTTGTATATTAATATATATATATATATAATCTGAATCTCGGAAACGGCTCCAACGATTTTCATAAAATTTAGTATACAGGGGATTTCGGGGGCGATAAATCGATCTAGCTACGATTTATTTTAGGAAATTTTGTTTTAATTTTGTTTTCAATAATCCTCTTCCAGACATCTATCTATTGGCGAATAATAATACTATTTTTAAAGACACAATAACACTAAAGGTATTTCAGCAGATGGCGTTGTTAAGACACCTGAAAAACACAATTTATCAACAAAAAAAATACTGGGAAACGCTCGGTCATCGTCTAGTTTTCTTTATACCTCGAATAGCACTTGAAATTAATATTTTTATAATAAGGAACTTTCCCTGTATCCCGGAATCCCCTGTATACTAAATTTTATGAAAATCGTTGGAGCCGTTTCCGAGATTCAGATTATATATATATTAATATACAAGAATTGCTCGTTTAAAAGTATAAGATAAAACTGGAGGTTTCGCAACAACCCACGGTCATTCGGTAATGTGCGAACTTATTGTGGTACACTTTATTCACGGTTGTTTGCATAAGAGTTAGTGTATTGCGCAAACGAACGCTCTGAGATCGTGGTCAATGAATGATAAAAAAAAGTATGTTATTTTTTAGCACCACCCAGAAATAATTTAAAATTTATTTCCATTTAAACACTGATCGAACTCACATCCTGAGGGTTCTTCAAACCGCCAGTTTCGTCGGCTACTATGCCGTTTTCCGTTTCATACGTCCAGTGGTAGGCGCCATCCGGATTCACGTCCAGTTCCTGTCTGATTATCTTGGCGTCTCGATTGGCATTGGCATTGGCAATGACGTGCGAAACGTCGGCCGCGACGCAGCCAAGGGCGAGTGTGACTAGCAGACAGTTCTGTAAAATGGATTAGGTCTTACAATTACCAGGGAGATAATTGTCTAACGTGATACAATAGAACCAATTAATTAATATATCGAGGGGTGAAAGGCGACGTTTTTGCAGCTTTACAGGAGAGCCATTAAAGCTTAAACATTTGGAAAAAATAGCATAACAATAAAACTTCTTCAGCCATTCGAATGGCGTAAACTTAATTGAAGTTCAATTAAAAACATCGAACTGTTGATGCTGATACAAAATAAAACGCATCTT